GGAAAGTCAAAGGACCCCAATTCGATTGAAACCCCCACAGTTGATTTTCTGGCACTGGTGGCAACAGTGGCACCAGTGGCACCAAAATTCTTGCAGGGCCCGGTCCCGAGCGAGCCGGTCCCAGAGACACTGTAAATGGCACAGGCTGGCGAGAAGAGGGCAACGCAGCAGTAGTAGAGTAGGAATGCCTCGCCAACAGCTGTAAGAAAGCCATCATTCATATGAGATGGTGTTCCATCCGTTCTTAAACACCAAGCCACCATTGGGCTTCGAAGATTCCTCGGACAGTGGTCTGGTGAAACAGTGCTTCGCCGTATGATCCCCCACCCGTTGGTCGTATTCGATATCCTAGTCATCATCGATATCTGTACATAAGATTGGCCGCTACGCACGTGCGGTCACCCTAGCTCTATTGAGCGCGCTGGCTATATCAGAGAGAGCCCCGTAATTTGTGTCAGACACACATAGGCGTCACTTACGGTTTCTGAATACGGCTCACCGGCCAGGGGCCGGGCAGAGTTTGGACCATTGGGCCGTCCCTTCTCGGCACGTAATAATGGCAGCCTTTTCTCGAGGACCGTGGCGCTCGTTCTTGACCATGACCCACCGTTAGCGATTGTTACTCTCAATACCCTCATTGCAGCATCGACTCACTGCCAGTCAAATTCAGCCCGAGGTGCCTGGGCTCTCCTATTCTTGCGCCTTGGATACCGGGCCTTGGTGCCTGGCTTGATCGGACGAGCATTGTCATCCAAGGGTGATGCTGCGCAGGAATCTCGGCTTAGCTCAAAATGTGCTGAGATACAGCAAAAGCTTGAGTGATTTTCCGCCAATGTCCTGAGTCAGAATGACGTTCCGATACAAGGGATCCATTCTTATGTCAAATAATATGCTTGCACCAGTAGATTATCCATACGTGTGCAGACATACGGCTAGACGTGAAGAAAAGCTCGCTTGCGGAGTATTCGTGCCCCAAGAACAAGGTCTGAGTCTGGGTTCTCTCTCCGAAGGCTTGTATTGACCTATTTCGGGAACGTTGGAACCAGGAAGGCCCAATCTCGTCGATGGCTACGGACATCCTCCATAGACCCAGTGGAGTTGGCGTGTTTAAGGATGGTTCCTTGGGTCCTTGTAGCCTTGTATTTTTGTTTATGTAGTAGGATCTTTAAACACCGGGGATATCATAATGCATGTTGACCGAGGGGACTCTAGATTCGTAGTCATAGCCATAACCAGGCCTAGGAGAAAGACAACGTCGGTTAATTGTTAGTCAAGTCCATCTCGCTGACTATCGCTCGATTCGCCCGTAAGATGCATACCCGGCGGGTGGCGTATAGTTGGCGTTCTGGAGGATGGAGAAGATAACGCCTCTCTATACGTGAGTAGCGGATCGAATCCCTCCGTCCAGCCAATTGTAAGTGTAGACGAAATGCTCCATGCTGACCAGGTATTGGGGCAAATGTTGCACCTTCGACCTGCCAAAATCAGGATCAGTTTGCTGTCGAGTTCAGGTTTTCAAGGCTGCGATCCTCCGCTTCCAAACGGCTGTCCTCTGCGCTTTTATAAGACAATTTCATGTGTTCATGCATGTGTGCCTAAGACTCCAGTCTTAGCCTCACGCGCTGTCCCCTTCAACTGAAGAGTTCTTTTCGTATCTTTGACAACAAGGAACCAGGCACGAAGATGGCAATCGGCAGACCTCGCATACCTGGCACTGAGGCGGAAAGAGCAGAGGCACGGAGGAGCAAAGTTCGCGCGTAAGTGTGACTGGGGCGTTTGTGATGTTGTGGTCAATACTTGTACTGACAGTGCACTCTGTCAAGCAATGTTCAGGCATTTAGAAGGCGCCAGAAAGAGAAGCAAATCGCAGAGCAGGCATGCCGGTTGCAGGCCAGGGAAGATAGCCTGGCCCAAAAGCACAAATCCCTTGCCTGCCATCAGCCAACTATCGACGCCAACGCCTACAGCTGTCCGAAGGCCTGCGATGCTTCTTTGTTTCCTGCAGAAGATGCTGAATTCTGGTTGTGGGCCATTCCCTCGGAAATGGGTGCAAGGCTTGTGGGTTCGACTTACCATGTCGCATTCGTCCAGGATCTCAAGAATAGGTTCGTAACACTTCGAACGCTGCGAGAGCGAGCAAACAACAGAGCTGGACAACATCTGTCAATATGCTGTTCAACATGGGTCACAACTGTAACCCTCGAAATGGACAGGCCTGAAACCGAAGTCTTGATGGAAGCTCTCTTAGCTGCCTCTCTGGCCAAGGTTGGCAAAGATCGCAGTGAACCAGATATGGTCCTGCAGGGAGCCTATATGCAGACCCGCGCATTGCAAAGGCTGCGGTGTTCGTTAAAGGGATATCAAGAGGGTGATAGAGAAATTTCGCCCACAGTATTATCTTCCACAGCCCTGATCTGTGCCATGTCGGAGCTGATAGCCAACAAGTCCTGGGACAACTTTAACTGTCATTTGCTGGGAGTGGGGGCATTGATATTCCATGGTGGTACCGAAGTAAGTGTTCACATCGTCTTCCTGAATGCATACCCAGCAGCACTGACCAAACACCTTCATGAATGATAGGGTCTGACCCAGCAGTCATCCCAGGAACATTTTTACGGATATCGTGCACTGCAAACACCGTTTTTGTTCATGAGTCGGCAGCAGACGTTCCTGTCCGAGCCACAATGGATTGACTTCCCATGGAAAGAAGGGGTGGAGCTCGCTCGACAACCTCTGCACTCGATGCTCGATATTGCCCTCAAGGTCTTACCAGAGATTGTCAAGCAGGAATCGGTCAAAAGTTGGAGCCTGTCCTGCCTCAAAGCGAGATATGAAACGGCGTTCGCGATAGTGGAGGAATTGAATGGCTGGGAGCGTCAGCTGCAATCACAACAAGAGGGTTCTCTATACACCAAAGTCATGGCCAGTTGGGGAGGTGTGTTCCAGCGTCGCCTCCACTTTCCCAACTCTTCGATTGCCCTTGCATTTGCCATGTACACGGCCGTCAGAGTACACGTGGCGATGCTTGTCACCAACATCTCGGAAGAAATGGCTTCCCATGCGTCCACAACCGATATGGACAGAAGCTCAGCTGCGCTGGAGGCATTGCGGTGGGCACGGCTTGCCTGCCAAAGCCTTGAGTACTTCCACACTAGTGAGTCCAAGGTTTCTGGGCTGATAGATACCCTGTGGCCACTTGAGAGCGCCTGGGAGCTCTTTTCAAAGGTGGAGGGAGAAGGGTTCGTCGACGTCTCGCAAGAGATTGTGTGGTGTCGATCTGCAGCTGAACAATACGTAAAGCTCGGGATTCCTCCCTTCAGACGGCGATAACACAAGCGAAGGATGGGAAAGGAGGATGCCGACTTGGGGAATGGTTTTGTTCCGAGTCTGTTTCCACAGCTGGTGCAAACACCCCATCCCCTTTCCTTGACCGAAACCGGCCGAGGACGCAACCAAAGCTGAAACTCGATTCGAGGAAATCACTAGGTTCAGGGCAGTGCTGTCGGAGGAATTTCCTTAATGGGTGAACACATGCTGGTGATGTTGACATGTTGGGATATCACCATGTCGCCTCATGTTGAGCTCAGCCACGGGGACGACGAGAAAGTGTGGCGTCGCTGGAATTCACGTGACCAAACTGACCAAATCACTTGTGGCTGGTGACCAGCCAGCCAGCGGACTCGGTAGAGAAGTCTGCCAACCACCCAACCTACTCGCTGCCTGGCATTCCAGCCATTCGAAAACCCTCCTGGTGCTCTTAATCCAGCCCATGAATCATGGTGGTACAGTACGCAAGCGCAGTCTTCCGCGAGCCAGTGGTGGCTGCAATCCTCCACCAAACCTGAGACTCGACTTCCCCTCCACCGGTCTCCGCAAGAATGCTGCCAGCCTGTTTGCATCGTCCAATATCGTGGTAGTGCCAGGGCAATAAATGACGGAGGTCAAGAAGAACAAGACCGAAGCCAAGGATTCTGAGGAGGAGTTGAACGTTTGGGAGTTCTTGTCCACACACAATTTGCTGGGCAGGACTTGGTTCAGGCTTGGAATTCACGGAACACCTTTTCACTCCTACAACAGATGCAGGAGTATGACCAACGGTAGAAGAGGTGGAGGAACGCCAGACACACACTTTTTTTCTGCAGAGCTTGGGGAAGTGGAATCCCTTGATATATGCGCAATGGGGAAACTTGTTCGCTCTACGTTTAGGGAATAGTGCCTTGATGCAGGATTGGACCATACAAGGCGCAGGCTGATGCTGGTGATCCATGCTTGTATCCCACACCTCTTCAGGGGCCTCACCTAGTCTACTTGAGTAGAGGTGATGAGGATGGATGAGCTTTCATATATCCACACGGGCGCTGCTCTTGTATCTCTTGACTTTCTCCTGTCTGGGCGCCTCTTCAAACGCCGATCACATGTGCCACCCCTCGTTGAGTGGCCCAATTCGCAATGTTTTGTCTCTGCCCAGAATGTGCCTATCTGCACTGCCTCAATCTGGGCAACGTCAAGACCACTTCATCCACCACAATCTGCTCCAGTTCTGCATGCGCCGAGCAGTCGCAAACCATGGCATTCTCATCTGGGCAGAGTTTTCCTCTGCTCTCATTTGTAATTTGCGAAATCGCCTCCTCATCACCCGGTTGGTGCCTTACTCCTCACCCGACAGCTCATAAGCCACGCTTTTGCCTATAATACAAGGCTGTGTGCGGTGCATGCGTCCAACCTGTTACCTGTCTGCTACCAACTCTACGCAGCCGACTCCTGAGATCTGAGCAGTCCTGCTCAGCCATCAGTGTTCGCAATGGAGGGGACAAATTCGCCGCCTCCGTCACCACCAAAAATCACAGTCGATACTTCGGTAAGCCATCTCAATAAATAATGGCGATTGTGTTGTGTTTCAGAATCTCTAACCTTTTCGGCCTCAGAATTTATCAGGGCAGCATCGGGCCGAATCATCAAATACTTGGGTAACGTTACCGAGTCACCACAGGGGACTGAGCATGTCCACGCCTCCCCAAAGCGCCATAGACGACAGCGCATACTTATCCCCCACTTCTCCTGAGCGCAGAGCACAGTACGATGGGTCAACTCTCAATTCTAGGTCAGGCTCTGTCGCTTCGGGCGAGACTGCGACACGATTCCGCTCAAATTCAGGTATATCGGCTGGTTCCACTACGACCTTCTACTCCAAATCTAGCCTCGAGTTTGAACCTCCCGAAGAAGCCTTGCGAGCCGACAAGGGAGATGAGAGAGACTTCGATGTCCCTAATAATCCCTTTGCCTTCTCCCCGGGTCAGCTGAACAAGCTCCTGAACCCCAAATCACTGTCTGCCTACAAAGCATTAGGAGGCTTGAGGGGCCTCGAAAGAGGTCTACGGACCAGTATCTCAGCTGGATTATCAGTGGACGAAACTCGCCTCGAGGGACAAGTCTCTTTCGAAGAAGCGGTTGCTGCTGGATCCAACCATGAAGGACTGTCAGAAGTCAAGCTGGACAGATCGGATTCAAATGGCAGTGTGGGCCAGGGCGAAGTCAAGGGCCAATTTGAAGATCGCCTGCGCGTCTTTCGAGACAACCGACTCCCGGAGCGAAAGCCAGACAGCATCCTCGTGCTCATCTGGCGAGCATACAACGACAAAATCCTTATTCTCCTCACCATCGCCGCCGTGATTTCTCTAGCTTTGGGGATTTACGAAACTGTGGATGGAGGCTCGGGTGTGGACTGGGTCGAAGGAGTTGCCATCTGCGTTGCCATCCTCATCGTAGTCATTGTCGGGGCAGCCAATGATTGGCAGAAGGAACGTCAGTTCGTCAAACTGAACAAACGGGTATGTCCACTGTTCCTGTCCAACAACATCCGAGCAGCTTGTTCTAACCTCGCTAAATAGAAAGACGACCGTGAAGTCAAAGTCATTCGATCAGGCAAGTCGATACAAGTTTCGGTGCACGACATCACAGCTGGAGATGTCCTTCATCTCGAACCCGGCGATGCCGTTCCAGCAGATGGGATTTTCATCTCGGGACATGGTGTCAAATGTGACGAATCGTCCGCGACTGGAGAATCGGATCAGATGAAAAAGACTCCAGGCGAGGAAGTGTGGCAACGCATTCAGGACGGAACGGCGACTAACAAACTCGATCCTTTCATCATCAGCGGCTCTAAAGTTCTCGAGGGCGTTGGCACCTACCTCGTTACCAGCGTCGGTGTGAATAGCTCCTACGGCAAGATCTTAATGAGCCTCCAGACCGACAATGAACCGACCCCTCTACAGGTAAAACTGGGCAGATTGGCCAATTGGATCGGAGGCCTTGGATCCTCCGCCGCAGGACTTCTTTTCTTCGTTCTTTTGATCAAGTTTCTTGCTCACCTCTCTGAGGATACCCGGCCCGGGGCTGAGAAGGCTCAGGCCTTCCTGGACATCCTTATTGTCGCAATCACAGTCATTGTCGTTGCCGTTCCCGAAGGGCTACCTTTGGCGGTTACGTTAGCTTTGGCCTTCGCTACTACCAGGATGCTAAAGGAGAACAATCTCGTACGAGTTCTTCGTGCCTGTGAGACCATGGGCAATGCTACGACCATCTGTTCGGACAAGACGGGCACCTTGACTCAAAATAAGATGACTGTGGTTGCTGGGACCATCGGAACGAAGGAGAAGTTTGCCTCGTCACAATCAGTCGAGACAAATGACACGGCCTCATTCACGACCATGTTCAGCACCCTGAGTGCTGAGTTCAAGGAGCTGCTCCGACTCTCCATCACCCTCAACAGCACAGCCTTTGAAGGCGAAGAGAAGGGCGTGCCCACTTTCATTGGTTCCAAGACCGAGGTTGCGTTGCTCACTCTGGCAAAGGAGCATCTGGGTCTTGACAATTTGGCTGCTGAACGATCGAGCTACAAGGTCAAGCAACTGATCCCCTTCGACTCGGCTCGCAAGTGCATGGGGATAGTCATCAAATACAACGGCGTCTACCGGCTTCTCGTCAAGGGAGCTGCAGAGATCATGCTTGCCAAATCCGTCAAGGCCGTTTCCGATGTCTACGAGAAGCAATACGCAGTTACGGAATTGACTGCCGAGCAAAAGGAACAGATAGCCAGCATCATCGATGAATACGCACGGCACTCACTCCGCACCATTGGCATGCTATACAAGGACTTTCCTCAATGGCCGCCTGCCGGCGCGAAAACCCTGGAAGAAGACGCCAAGATGGCCGACTTTGACGATATCTTCGATGACATGACTTGGATTGGCGTCGTCGGTATCCACGATCCTCTGCGGGAGGGTGTGGTTGAAGCCGTGGCACAGTGCCAACATTCGGGTGTCGTGGTCCGCATGGTCACTGGCGACAATGTAACCACTGCACGTGCAATCGCGACTGAATGCGGTATCCTCCGTGAGGACGAAGACGGAGTCGTCATGGAGGGTCCCAAGTTCCGCCAGCTCTCTGATGAAGAGATGGACAGGATCCTGCCACGCCTTCGTGTCCTGGCTCGCTCATCCCCCGAGGACAAGCGCATACTTGTCAGTCGACTTAAGCATTTGGGCGAGACAGTCGCAGTAACCGGAGATGGTACCAACGACGGGCCTGCCCTGAAAATGGCCGACGTCGGCTTTAGCATGGGTATCGCGGGCACAGAAGTTGCCAAAGAGGCCTCGTCCATCATTCTACTCGACGACAACTTCTCATCGACAATCACTGCTCTTATGTGGGGTCGGGCCGTCAACGACGCGGTAAAGAAGTTCCTGCAGTTTCAGATCACGGTCAATATCACTGCAGTGATACTCACTTTCGTGTCGGCTGTCTCTAGCGAGTCGAACCACTCGGTACTCACGGCCGTTCAACTTCTCTGGGTCAACCTCATCATGGACACTCTTGCTGCTCTAGCGCTCGCGACCGATCCACCTACCAAGAAGATATTGGATCGTCCACCGCAGCCCAAGTCGGAGGCTCTTATTACAATCAATATGTGGAAGATGATCATCGGCCAAGCAATTTATCAGCTGATTGTCACCTTTACTTTGTACTTTGCGGGCATGTCGATTTTGAGCTATGGGCCCGAACGGCGGAAAGAACTGGACACGATCGTCTTCAACGCCTTTGTCTGGATGCAGGTCTTCAACGAATTGAACAACCGCCGCTTGGACAACAAGTTCAACATCTTTGAGAATATCCATCGCAACTACTGGTTTATCGGCATCAACTGTATCATGGTGGGAGGCCAGATTATGATTATCTTCGTTGGTGGAACTGCTTTCAGCATTACTTCGCTCGACGGTCCTCAGTGGGCAATTTCACTACTGGTTGCTTTGCCTTGTCTGCTCTGGGGCGTCTTGGTTCGATGCTTTCCCGACGCCTGGTTCGCAGTCGTTTTCAACGGAGTGGTCGGCGGTGTCGCCTTCGTTCTCCGCCCGATCTGGAAGGCCCTTTCTATCATCTTTCATCCGGTTGCGCAGGTCTTCCGTGCTATTGCACGGTTTACTGGGCGTGCGGTACGCAAGGTCACTCGGCGGAACAGCTCTGATCAAGAAGATGCACCAGCGCCGGTTGACGAAGAGCGTCCTTCGACCGTGGTCGCGGAGAAGCAACCAGAAACCGTCCATGCGTCCAAGGAATCCCCCTCGACGATGAAGCATAATGACGGTTATACGACCCCACCGTCCGGCTGGAACAGTGGCGGTGCGACTGAGATGAAAGACATTCCTGTGCCGTCTGTGTCGATCACCGGACCACCCAGCTGAGCGATGCTCTTTGTCCGACAATTCCTTTCCTCACGTACATACATACACATATTACAGCTCGGGCTCTTTGATTTGTTGCCATCTATATCATCTGGATTACGGTGTCAAATCGGCGTTAGTTTTTGTGGGGGAGTTTACACAGTACATCAGCAAAAAAAAGTGGCGCTATAAACCGGCACTGGGAAGCCTCTTCTCCTCCTCATGGATATCACGACGTTGGATGCCTGCATGCTTGCATGTTTTGGGTTGGGTTGGGTCGGGTTGGGGTTAGTCGCCGTTTCTTGAGTGTCTTTTCGGCCGGACTTTCTGGGGCTGGAGTTGGGAGTTGGAATAAGTATCATTGGCGGTGGACTGACTTGTGTTTTGGGTCTTGTCATCATCTACCTGTCGGGTAAGAGGCCAAAAAGTCGTTTTCGGTTCGTGATCGGGTATATTATTATCGAGTACATGGTCAAAAAAGTGAAAGTGAAAGAAAGTGTCCACCTTGCCCTACCTACCTACTACTCGAGGTGGTGAGGAAGTGAGGAAGTGAGGGAGCGAGGTATTCAAGCCAGTCGTAGGTATGTACGATACGTACTGACTGTACACAGTACATACATACATAGCAGACTACTGAGTAGCCATTGGGCGAAGGAAAACAAGACCCAAGTCCAAGCACTTGAAGTATCCTGCTTTGATATTTAGTGTTGGTAGAGTCGACCACCCCCCTCCCCCTCCCCCTCCTCTCTGTCGAACAAAGCACGTGAGGAAACGCCGTCCGCACGTCCACACCATATGCCAATCCTATCACATCCTATCCTATCCATCTATCTCTCAGTCAGTCAGTCAGTTTTCTCTTGCGTGTCCGGCCAGCGGCTTAGGCGGAGGCTGACTGCAGTAAGGATGGGAGGGTTGAATGCAGGAAAGAAAGGAGACCTCTTTCTCTCTCTCTCTCTGTGTGTGTGTGTGTGACATAGAGCACAGCACAGCCCCCCTTCCATACGAGCACGAGCACGGTCACAGGCATGAATATCTGTGCTCGTATCGCATCACATGTCTCAGACTTACTCGGCACTTTCATCCATATCTCCATCCACTGGTATTGGCAACTAACAAAATCATGATCAAAAAGCACATCACGTCACGCACATCACAGACATACAGAGAGAGAGAGCTCTTCAGCATTATTTTTTGCAAAGTTTTCTTGTCAGCTGGACTCGAAAGGAAAAAAACAACTGCCAGAGAACCATAAAGGAAACAGTGGGAGTTCCTTGTCCAATCCTGCCTACAAACAACTTCATCTTTCATCCTCGACATGCTTGTCCGTTTCAAAGTCCATAATCCCTTGCCCATCCCGTACTGACAACAAATCAAAACCACTTTTTCAAAAATCAATACACACAGGAGGGGTAGGCACACCATGATCAAATAATCATTTGATCAAATCAAGGCCGAGGATGCGATATAAAGTTAACATATGAATGTATATGTATATCCCCCACTGCTGGCGCTCTTGCGCAGTCAATCACATGGTTCTTCCTTCATGTCCACAAAAAACGCCGGTCCCGCTCATTCCATGATAACATAGTGAAAAAAAAGGGACACCCTCAGATAGATGGCATAGATACAAAGACGGTCAAGGGTGGGCTTGATGATTAGAAATTATGTTTTCGAGGACATGGTTCTGTCGTTTCATTGCGTGTATCCCGGAGGCTTCCCGGGACCCCCTGGACCACCAGGCCCTTTGCCACTAGGTCCGCCTGGTCCTCCAGGGCCTTTGCCGCCAGGGCCCCCGGGACCCCCAGGTCCGCCTGGTCCTCCAGGTCCGCCTGGGCCGCCCTTGCCAGGAGGAGGTCCTTTCATGGCGAGACTGCTTCTCTTCCTCAGCTTCTCACCGAAGAGCCACAGGATGATCGGGACTGGAATGCCGATACCGATGGCGGCTAGGGCCAGCACCGTATTACCCCAGCCAAAATCGAGAGCTTTGTACATTGCCGGCGCAAATAAGGGGAATCCGAAACCGGCGAGTGATCGTAGAATCGTGACAGCAGCCACGGCCGAGGCAGCAAACCTCGCGTAGGTGTCGACGAGATAGGTGGTGACGCATTGGAAAGCGGCAATGGTTCCGATACCGAAGATGAACGAGCCAATGTTGGGCACAATCCAGTGCGTCTTGTTCTGGGCGGACCATCCGTAGATCAAAAGACCGACGGGCACGAAGAAGGAAAAGGGGATGACAATCGGCATACGGTATTCCGGTTTGCCCTGTCCGCGGGGATCCTTGGCCTTAAGCTTGCGGTAGACTTTGTCACCAGACTTGCCGCAGAGAGGGGCACCGATGAAGAAACCCAGACCCAACGAGATGTAGTTCAGGCCAGCAATACCCACGCTTTCGTGGTAGACATTGCCGTAAAGCTCCGGGAATGTGGAAAGGGCCAGGTAGAGAATACCGTAGGAGAAGGCCATGTAAAGAGCTAACACCTGGACGATGGGTTGGCTGAATAACATTCCAAATGATCGAGCCATGGTCTTGACAATCTTCTTCCATACGGGTTGGTCGACTTCACCTTCGCCGTCAGCGTGCCATCGTTTGTCGCCAGTCTGTTTGCGGATCATCTTCGCCTTCTTGTGCAGGATATAGGGAGTATAGGTCTCGCTGAGTTTCCAGAAGCCGGCGACGAGAATAAAGCAGTTGACAATCGAAGTGGCGTAAAACATCCACCTCCAGTCCGACTTTTCGGCAACCCAAGCACCCACAATAGGACCGACGGCAGGGCCAAGCAGAGGGCCCATGGCGTAGATACCCATGGCCTTACCACGCTCTTCAGGTTTGAACAGGTCACCGAGGACACCGCCACCGATTGCAAGGGGCGCTGAACCACCGAGACCAGACAAGAATCGGAAAGCCATCAGCTGCTGTTTGGTTTGAGCAAAACCACAGGCCGTGTTAAATGCCAGGAAGACTACGTTCGATGATTGGAGGATAATGACACGCCCGTACAGTTCAGATAGCGGACCGAGAATCATAGGACCGATAGCATATGCCAAGACGAAGATGGACAGCACGATCTGAGATTCGATCTTGTTGGTGATATGGAATTCGTCGGCAATTTGTCCCAAGGCAGGGGCGATCATGGACGACGCTAGGGGTGACAGGAATGTAAAGGACGCGGTAAGCATGGTGATGGCCCACTTCTTGTTCGAAGGCCAGCTCTTGGGGTTCAGCGGATCATCTGGCCCATTAAATTTGACCTGTAATAGCAAATATTAGCCAGCTTTCTGAGAACAGAAGGGTTGGAGGAACGTACCAGGAAAGGGTCGTCGTTGGGAGGGCCACCTGGACCCCCAGGTCCGCCAGGGCCACGTGGTCCAGGACCACCGCCCGGTTTCTCCTTGGGCAAGAAAGGAGTGGGAGTGGCAGGACCATTTTGAGCCTCGAGATCGAACTTGGCTGGGTCTTTCCTGTCCATCATACCATGGCCATGATCCTCATCACAGGTGCACCATGATTCGTGTGAGTGTTTACTGTGTTCCCGCTCGAATGGCGGTGTCATCTGCTGGGAAAGTGGTCTCTTTTCATCCCTTGGGTACGAGTTGTGTAGAGTGTTCATGGCCAGAGTCTCCTCGGATTGTGTTGGATACCGAGGAACCGATTGGTCATACAGAGAATCATTATTGTTCAAGTAGCCCTCTGCGAGGAGTCTCTGGTTCGCTACGAAGTCTTGGTCGCGGTTGAGGTAGTGGTCGTCGCTCACTATCCTCGAGTCTCGGGTGCGGAAGGACGGGGCATAGGAAGCCAGGGAATCTCTGTTTTGGGCGGATCGCATCGATCCCTGATCATCATAACGGCCGACATGATAGTCTGGGCCATCGTCGTAAAGAACAGCGAAGGTAATCTCACTGCTGGCGCGATCAGAGCCAGGTGAGGGTTCGGCAGGTAGAGAGCGGTGCCTATAAGGCTCGGTCGAGTTTAATCGTCGTAGCGAAGGAAATCGTGAGTTCAGCGCGGGTTGTGATAGGGGTCGTAAGAGCTGGCTGTTGGTACCGTCTTCCTCCATGTCGTCGGTGTTGTTAGGGGTGTTGTTGTCGACAGACGTTGGAGGGAAGGCAACTGTGTGTCGGGGAGGCTGCTGCTGCTGTTGTTGCTGATGTTGGGCTAAAGATGAACCTGGACGCGATTGGGAGTCGTAGCCTCTGGCGACTTCCCAGCTGTCCCACGAATTCGGAGCCGCCAGTGTGAAAGGGGGTTTAGGTATGTAGAACAATGAACGAGCGTGGTGGTTTGTCCAGGAATTATTACAACAAAAACAAACAAATTCGAAAAGGTGGACAAAGCGTCGACGACAGGGAAGGGGGGAGGAGAGGAGGGATGAAGGAGTAGTAAAGCGAGTGAGCTGGCTGAGCGAGTGTGTAAAAGGCGAGCTGGTGAAGTAGTAGGAGGTCGGTAGGAAGGGGAGGGAAACCACGGACAAGAATAAGATCCGCTGGCCTGTCAGGCGAGATGACGAGGGATGGGAGGAATAAAGGGATCTAGGGAATTTTTGGGGGTGGATGGCGAGCGAGAGGGAGAGAGAAGAGGGGGGAGCTTGGTGCTTGGGTGTGTTTGCGAAACTGAGCAGGAGAGACAAGAAAAGCGGGCTAGGGTGCAGGACGGCCTGGTAAGTACAAGTAGGTGGTCAAAAGCTGCTACGGGCTTTGTGGGCTGTGGGCTGGCTAGGGGACACTAGGTGCAAAAAAGGGCCCTTTCCAGGCTGGTGCTATACGGCGGCGGGCCTTGGATGACCTGGGTTCCTGGGATAGTCGCGGGTTAGTACCATCCGGGAATAGAGGCTTGGATGGAGACGGCATTTGGGAATTTGGGGGGTGGAGGGAGGGATTTGGGAACCCATTCAACTGCTCTACCACAACAGCCAGACAGCCTTGGGTCCCTCTTTCAGGCCCCAACCCGAGCACTTGAAAAGAGGCTTTGTTGCTCCAATAATAATATCACCTTGCCGCCCTTATCCAACTGTCAGGTCGGCGCTCGGATCATACGAGTACCTACGAGTTTGGCCTTTGCGGAGACCAAGGCTCACCGGAGCGCGAGCTTTTGCTGTTCGAGTAACGCCTACCTTATGATCACCGAGTCCACCGGGTCCTACCTACAAGTACGCTGCTGCTGCTGATGATGACGATGATGACTATGATTCTCCGGAACACAGGATGTGGCTGTTGATCTGGCTGAGAAGGGAAACAGGAATACGGACGGAACAAGAAATTGCGAGATTGGAAGCCTTCCGACGCCGCGATTGGCCTGTCTGCCCGTACGAGGACTGGTAGAGGCTGGCTGCAAGTCATGATTGACCCTGGAAACAACTTTTGTGCATAATCATCCAGAGAGAGTTTTTTTGGTCCATCACACAAGGCAGAAACATTTCATGGGCTTTCGTTGTTACAAGATGGCACGGCATGTGGCCTGCCTTAAAACAGCCTGCGAAGCATGTACCGAGTCCTCCGTACCGTCTTCTGGAGCTGCAGCCTCTTTGCTAGCCTAATCCACAATACAAGCACCAGGGTACATGCTCGTCGTTGACCTGTAGCTCGAAACCTGGAAGTACGAGGTTGAGATGCATGGCCACCTTTCTCTATGACGGCTACATATCATGCAGACAAGTACCATTCCATGAAAACCCGTAAACTTTAATCTTTCTCTTTGCGTGTCTCTCTCTCCAGCCCATGATGTGTCTTTCCGTGCGTATACCGGACTGAATACGAGAATAGCGGCGGCAAGTTTCCAGGCACCAAAATGTCACCATATTTGACCACCACCACACGCCATCACCCATCCCCTCCAGTCGGCATCTTGGTATAGTAATAGGAAGGGAGAAGGGGAGCCGCCGAGACGCGCAAAAGTGAACTGAAATCTTACCGCAGCGCAGACCAAGCATGAGGTACGCAGATGGTATGAGTGGGATGTTCGAGTTCCTCGTCGAATGCAGCTCAATTCAAAACCACAGCTGCAAAGCAGCCGCAAGGGAACGGAAAAGAGGCGGGGAGGGGCGGAGCTTAAGCGACAGCCTTGGTGGAGATTTGTTGTTAGGCTCATCGCTCGCTCATCTGTTGTTGGAAGGCATGGAGTCCAATGGGCGCCAAGGGCCGACAGGGCACAGGCCCCCAGGCCCCAGCTCACAGCTTCGGGCACCGCTTAGGCCCTCCAGATGTGCGATTTGCTGGCAGTTACTGACATTTGCTGGCCCCTGCACGCCCCTGTTGGCCCCAGTAGTGTGGACTTGTTGCTAAAATTGAGTCCGTAGCGCATCGTGCTAGTGGATCCCGTTTGCCTGTTGGCCTGCTGAGCCTGCACCGCAATCTTGATCCCTGGTCCTTCCCCCTCCAGCCCCTTTGGCCAACCTCGCCCTGGATCTGCCCCTGTTTTGGCTGCCTCTCCACGGACTTTGTCGTCCGACCCTCCGAACTAGGGGCGCCCTGTGCCTCACTGTCTGTCACTTGCCTGTTCCTGGCATGGTGGTGGACTTTGTGGACTTGATCAACCAATCCGCTGGGCTCCTTAATCTTTTGGCGCAAAGAGGCTGAAGTTGGATTGGTCTGTCGACCATGAGGAAGCAAAACGTCATACTATTTCACCACCTCCGCGATCAAATGTTCTCATCCATGATACCTGTTTGGAGTCATTAGCCGTTAAACACTCTTCTCTAGTCGGTATGCTATACCTCCTTCATCGATATCAAGTGCGATAACGGCAGAGGGAGCTCATATTCCTCTGTAACAGTGTCGATGGTCGACTTTCCCTTCCCCGCCTCCCCCTGAGCAACAATCGATTCTCAGCACGTCTCAGCAGCTCCAAGACTCGCCACTAATCTCCTCTCTCGCGTGTAATTTCTCAGCGACGCCTTGGCGCTCCTACCACTTACCACGCGCCCACACGATTGATGCTCCTTTCGGACTGAGGTGACAATATTGTGGTCATGTTTGAGCCTCTGAGCAGCCATTTCCACCTCTTTTGGTGAAATTAACGCAGAGCTGAAGCTTCGAGAACGATGGATCACAACGCCGTTTCTCTTTTCTCGCTCGGCTGGTTTGCTTGTTGCAGAGGGTCCACGCTCACTCCGGCTTGTTTTGTTCTCCAGATGGTAGAATTGGTCTCGCATCCTGCACTAAAATCCTCCCCTCGACCAGCGAACGGTCTCATGATTCAACCGACCCAACGTGCCAGCTAGAAATCCGCTAGCCCTACGAGGACCCAAGCACTTGTGCTCGTGCTCGTAGGCACAATACGAGGTACTCGGTAGTGGTAGCATAATCGCTTCTTGCCCTCGATATAATCGCCCTTATCAGTCTATCGGCGCCGGGCGCTTTATTCGTACACCGCAGATGGCCTGCCACTGATGAAATTTCCCAGTAACAACGACCGACCCGGTGATTATCGGCCCAATGCAAACATTCGTCAGCGTGTGTGGGGAATTTTGTTCATTGTGGCTTTGGTTGACTTCTCGATTTATTCTCTGTCTGGTTGGTTTGTGCCTTTGCGTCTGTATATGTAGACAATATTTGGACCAAGCGCGATTCCTTCATGGACAGCCGGCTGACTGCTGGGCTAGCTGACCAAGCTTCATTCCCTATCCCTTCTCAGAAAACTTTGCCCCGAGTGTCTGAGCAACGGGTTAAAGGGAGAGCACCCCTTCACCTTGCCGGTAGGCCGGTACAGGGAGCCCCACGAATGTTCTGGTGGCTTTCGAACTTGACACCTGGCCCCCCCAAAAACGTGGAAAACCCTCTGCCAGCTCCATGGCGTCAGAAATCGACCATGGTGGGTGTTTAAGGCTGGAACAGGAGTGTGCGGCTAATGGAACACCCCCTTTAAATAGCAGTCCCCCGCAATACCAAGCAAGCAGGTCGCAGGTTTTGCACATTGACACTTTCTCACTGAGGGGACGGTGAAACCTGAACAGTTGACACAGAGATGTGACCATCAGCTAAACCGATGCCCGCCGGCACGATGGTGTTAGGCGGCAGCATCTACCAAGCGGCGTCTAGAGGCATCGGCCGAGGCCAACAGACAAGGTATATCTTGAAGGAATACCGCTTAAAAGCACAGGCGGCTGAATCCGTTTAGTCCGATGATGCCTATAAAAAGACATCGCCCAGACTCAAAAAGGATGCCGGAGCATCTCGGCAATGCTCGTGGTGCTACCCAAGTTTTCCTTTTGAGAACGAGGGTATGATGCAGGATTCAAGTCTTTTGCAGCAAGTCTTCTGCACCAATTCTTGAGTCACCATCAGGCTCTGGTGAGCTGCAGGAACCGTTGGTTTGACAGACTGACCTGATAGGGCCTCAGGCCATTGCGACCCCCAGACGCTTGAGCCCAGCTGAACCAAGCCTGACAAGCTAGGGTCTGCATATAAGCCCGAACCTGCGTCTGCTGATTCAATGAGCCCTGTACCGAGTTGTTGCATGGCGCATTCCCTCAGGAAAATAAATATTCAGCTTGCTGATTTCATTTGTCATTGACTGCAGGGGCGCACGGCCGGCATATCGCGTGTACTTGAATCTGTCAGTCATTTGCGTCCAGCCTCTCACTTTTGAGCTTGGCGCTCCGAGCCCTAGCAATGGCAAGTCCGTTGCCAAATGAGGCATGCACATGACCACTTTGACATCTGCCTTTCCCCAGACTTGCTTATCTTGAGAGTGAATCGAGATCGAAAATCCGACACACTACCGAGTACGAGGTACCTTGTCCTGGATCCTGGTATGTTCAACGAAAAACAGTCCTGCCGAAGGCCTTCTTTCGGGCTCCAATATGGTGCTAATATTCTTGTCTCCGTTGTATCGCTATCTTTGTGCCTTCTAGTCGTTATCAGTGGAGGAGCTGAGCTTCGACAGGCTGTAGTTCATGTGACTCCTCGATATCCCGCCTTGTCTGGAGAAACTTTTAGGGACACACTCCAAAGCAAATGTCCAAAGGGAGGTTGCAGGCGGTACGGGTTCGCATTGGTAATCAACGCTGCTCCTATTGAGTTTGGTGGACCACTTGCTCGCAACCACTGAATCGATCACAATTCCTCGGTCTTCCATCAGAGTTTGAGGTTAAACACGGGCCTCCCAAGGCTTTCAATGCGGGGGAGGAAAACAATTCAAATCATGAATCATTTCGCAGGAATATAGATGATGCGCTGTTGTCAGAGCTCTGCATTGTTCCAGATCCTTTGGTCGAGTATCCGTAGTGGCTGAACTCCACAGTCCATGAGGAAGAACAGTAGTTCGCAGCCTACATGGCGGCTCGCTAATTCCTCAGGCTTGAAAAATATTTGAAGGGGGGCTTCGACAGGCGTGGACTGCATTCCAAGTCGTTCTACCGGAATCGGAGGAGCCATATCGTCACTGCTGTACCAAGTATTCATTGGTTTGGTGGTGCCAGATCTTCCCGCGCTTCTGCTAAGTAGATCCCTTGCATCCCAAGCTCGTCTCCGCGAAGCTCCCAGCCACCTGATATTCGAGTTCCCACTCAAACGCAGAAAAAAGCTTCATGATATCTGAGTTTTCTCCAGCCATCTGCTTTATTATCTTTCAATGGGCGCAAAGGCTGGCACCAGGGAGTCTGCATAGGGCTCCTGCACGTCGAGGGAAGAATTGCTTGCTCGCACGACCTTGGTTTGAGACATGGAGTGAGCGCTCGGCATCGCGAGCCGGATTGACTGCTTTCTTCTGCATAGATCTAGCAAGTCTCATGCCAGTCATAAGCCCGCTGGGGCAAGAATAGAGGACTCTGCTTGGTCAAGGCTCCGCGGCATGAGGGGGCTTGAAGAAGTTTCTTCTGCGCCGTCCAGCTTACCGGCCCGAATGTATTTGCAATGTTCAAAGCATGGCAGCGCCAGCGTCAAAACAAGCCTGTGCATGTCCTGATTGCCATTGACAGGGGCGTTTGCTTGGGAGAACTCAGGTGACGGGTAATAAATGTGAGGCCCGTTTCATAGTGGCGGATGAAGTCAAATTCTGGACACACAATTGTGGTATTGCGTCGGAACGTTGAGAAAGATCATAGTGAGTAGCAGCTGCGCGAGTCTCAGCAGGCATAAAGTAGCTTTACTGCGATTTCAGCACATTCCCATGTCCGTCTGTATCCCTATTTGCCCTCCAAACGCCTTCTTCGACCTCACCAGTATCTGCGAACCACTCTCTCTTCCAGATCTCTGCTCGAGCCTTGACTCTTTCCAGGATCTCTTCGGCACCCGCCCAGCCACTGGCACGGTGCCCGCTACTCACGCTCACGGCAATGCTCTCTTCTTCAACATTGACCTCGCCCAGGCGGTGGGCGATGACCACCTTCTCTAGCCCATGCTTTTTCTGCACGTCCTCGGCAATAGCGTAGAGAGACTTGAGGGCGAGGGAAGGATACGCAGAATATGAGAGGCGAGAGACTGGGCGATGGTCGAAGTTGTTGCGGGTGGTGCCCAGGAACAGAACGTTGGCGCCCGCGGTAGGGGAACGGGTGAATCGCAAGTAGGATGGGATATCGAGAGGGTCATAGACGAGAGAGATATAGATGGTGTCAGAGGAGAGGGTTTGGGGAAAGTTAGATGGGTTGAGGACAGAGGTTGTCGCAGTACTAGCAGACGAGGTCTGCGTCGAGGACGCATCGGCCCCGTTGGTCAAGGGTGCTGGAATGTCTGCAGACATGGCTCTTCCGGTATGAGGCGAGCTTTTCCTAAAGAGCGGGAAGCAACTGTTCTCTGTCAATGCTCATCAACTTCAATGATATCTGATGTTCCATTAGTGCACTAGTTGTGGAATCATGTTGATATGTGGTGGGTCAAGTCTTTGAACGCCTCTTAAGTTACATGCGGTCAAAAGTTCTGGCTGATAGCTGGGAGTGGCATCTTCTCCAACATCCAAGTGTTTTTCTCGGCTGCACCGCCGATACGTCATACCGGTTCAATAGCTCAGCAGTCTTTCATCCCACCACTTCAACTCACCACCGGGCACCTCGCTCTTTCACGACTTGACTCACGCGTGTGTTTCTCACACCTGTACCCCGTGTATGCGAGTCAGCAACATGAGACACCAATCAAGGTAGCTCCGTCAACGTCTCCCCGTGAGTTTCTCCCGTCCTTTGCCAGCGAATAGCTGATGTTAGACTACCCGTGACCACCCAACCACGCCCTCGCGTCAATGTGAGGCGACTGCACCATGTCCTTTTATTCGCTACCAAAAGAATGCAACTTCGCATCCCGGCCAAAACTCTCCCCCCCACACACAAGAGGGCAAGGAAAATCCAAAGCAAACAAAATAATTCCGAATCTTGCAAAAAACCACGATTTGGGCCCTCTTCAATGGAGCCACGTCTACGTCTCACCGCCTGCCATTTATTCCCTTGTTTTCCACTCATACCGATCAAATCGAGGTGTTTGTGTGTCTAAGACCTCGCGTGCATACAGATTGTCCCAAACAAGAAACCAGAGTTGCCTAATGAAGAACTTCGTGACCCAGGAACAAGAATGAAGTGGCTGGTAAGCAATGGGATTGGTCGTTGAGTATATGCAAGCTGGGAGACGGCGTCATCTTGATTCTCTGTCTTGTCAGGGCCAGATAGTGGACATGGAACCAACATGCGGTCCTCATACACATGTATTTGTTATTTCCCATTTGCTCTTGTTCAATTGCTCTTTTATTTCTGGTGATACATCTCTCTATTTCCGATCATGAACGTCGAGGTACAGTCTTGCAGAAGTGGAGTTTTTGTTACAACGTTACCCTCACGCATCGCCATGCTGTGCAGACCTCAACACTAGACACTCCCACCTCTCATTTCATTAGTTACCGCTAGAAGTCACCTCTTTCTTCTCAAGGTAGGGCAGCGGTGTCGTATCAATCGGCTTCCTCTCTCTTCTCCAATCCCTGATGTGCTGGAGTACAATGGCCGCCGCACTTTCCGGTGTGTCTTGCCTTCCAATACACTCGACGAAGTCACCTTCGGGATCCATCACGTAAAAGTATATGCTGTGGTCCACCAAGTAATCTTCTTCGCCCGGCTTCAGCTCTGGCGGCGTGGAGAAATACACCCGATATTGTTTACACACGTCCTTGGTCTGTTGCCATGTACCAACCAAACCGAGGATAGCAGGGTGGAATTCGGCCAAGTATGCTTTGAGGACATCGGGAGTGTCGCGATTAGGATCGCACGAGATGAAAATCGGCCGTACTGTGTTTGGGGCTCTCTCTTGGATAATTTCGAGGGCTTCGCCCATCTTGTCAAGCTCGTCGGGGCAGATGTCGGGACAATGGCTGAAGCCGAAATATATCTACCAGCCAAAACATTCGTGTCAGTCTCAGGAGAACTTCAAACATTGACGCGGGAGTGCGGACATACGAGTGAATATTTGCCCAATAAATCTTTGTCTGTGAAATCATTGCCATCGACATCCTTCAATGCGAACGGGCCGCCGACCTTCGGCTTCCCGTAGCCTTTGCTCATCTCGACGATCCTCTTGCGTTCCAACCGTTTCTTCTCGAACTGGAAATAAAATATCATGCCTGCACCGACGCCGACGAAGAGCGCCGCTGATCTGAATGAGAATGGCTGCACATGGCAAGCGTCAGAGGAAGGCACGTACCCCGGATAAAGATACGTACGCCTGTGCGATGGTACAATCTGTCCCCCATTCTTAATCTCGAGCTTGAGGAGGAAAAAGGCCGCGTCTGAAGACATTGAGACGGCGGGTCATGTCGTCGTGGTTGCTGCGACTGGAAAGACGATGGCTTAACTCGGGCGTGCACCGTCTGCAGGTGAATCGATCTGCTTTTACTGGAGGCTAGCGGGGTGGCTAGCCTCTGGACAGCTCTATGCAAGGGAGGCATACGGCCAGGCATTGGATTGAGGAGTTGACAGTGAAGTACAAGAACTGCGTTGGTGATGAGTGGACTGACTAAAGCAACTTTCTATGGCACATGGCATGATGGGGTTCAACCACGGCACCCTACTCGCCCACTTGTCAGCGGCGGAGTGGAAGAGCCGGAAGCGCACTCGGCACATACTCACGTGACACAACACAAAATTAACATAAACTTACCATTCGTGTGTCTTGCCTCCCTTTCCAAAGACCGCCAGAAGCTCGGAGGAACAGAGTGATATGTTCGGCATATGTCACACAATCCAGCGTCAGGTGAAGCCTCAAAATCAAGATTAGAGGCGAAGTCCTAGGCCACCGCCCCAGCACGACCCGACCTCCATGTCTACACTATCCCACACCGCGCCCCCAGCATCAGGTCGAATAGGACCTACCAAAGTGCATCTTCCCATTCTGCTCTTCTTACACGAGTGATCTAGACAGGATCCCAATGTCACTTATAGTCACGGGTCAGATCAAATGTTCTGGGCATTACGCCACTCTGGAAACCAGATACAGCGAGTGATGGAAGAAGACACGATGAACACATATCCTCACATACACGGATTCCCTCCATGGTCATTCCCACCACGTCCGGTGGTTGTCTCGTGCGTACGGTCATTCTAACTCTGAACTGTTGGCCTTCCTTCTCGGATTGCGACATCTGGCACGATGGGATGCTTGTTCTCATCCTGTCCCGCTACGGGCGGCGGCACATACTCCTTCCTCCCGGCCTTGTGGACACGACCATTGATCATGATGACATTCAACTTGCTGTGATCCTGGAGGACGTCAATGTCGTCAATCGGATTGCCGTCAACGAGGATGCAGTCCGCGTAATTGCCTTCCTTGATCTGGCCCATCTCATCGGCTCGCATCATGACCTTGGCCACGCCGTAGGTGGCGGCGATAATGGACTCGTGAGCAGTAAACCCCATCAAGTTCTTAAAATGGGCCAGGTCGCGAGCATATGTTCCGTGAGGAGTCCATGCAAATCCATAGTCACTAACGAGAAGCAGCTTAGCGGTCGTGCGAGCAGATGGTGGATCGAGAGAGTCAGAGGAGCATACTTACCCGCCAGGAAGAACTACGATGCCTCTCCGATGCATCTCACGAAGTCCTCGCAATGCGATCTCAAGCTCCTGATTATTGCCTTTACGTCAGTATACCTGACTTGAAGCGGCTGGCACTTATAGGGACTCGCCTTTTTGTACCCAACTTGCTCGGCCTTCTCATGGGAATAACCGAATGCTGCAGCGTCATTCAAAGTTGCAACGAGCCAATTGATTGCTGGAGCCACGACATGCTTGGTCCGTGCCTCCTCCAGCATGTCCATGCCCTCCTCGTCGATATAAGATCCATGATAAATGACGTCCACCCCATGCTGAAACGGTGCTGTGAGCTTATGTCTCGACTATTGCGGTAGGCGAAAGATGGGACCGCACGACTGACCTTGACACACATCTTTACAGAGTCTCTTGCTCTTGCGTGTGCACAGATGGATTTACCTGCTTTGTGTGCTTCTTCCACGCAGATAGCTGTCTCTTCGTCTGTGAAATAGCAGTCTTGAGCTGACCGTACTTCGCAGATCTACATTTCCGGTCAGCAACGGTGAGCATCAAGCAGCCTAGACCTTTGGGATCCAACCTCTTCTCCGGACATTACGAGTTTGATGTTGTCAACCCCAATGCCGACGTGATGTTTGATGACTTCCCTCATCTCCTCAGGTGTGTCTGCAAAAGCAGTGATTGCTGCTTCCAGGTCACCGTCACGCTTGGCCATCTCCTTTCCATTGGCGAGAGACCGTGGTCCGGGAATGTCGCCGGCGTAGATGGCATCCCGAATCGCGACGTCGAGACGCTCCTTGGCAGATGCAGCACCATAGCACCTTTCCCGAGTCGTCAGTGATCCACTCTCACCCTTCACAGATTCACAGAGAGATTCCGGTCGGAAACCTTACATGGTATAGCCGGAATCCAGGTAGCATTTTGCACTCCGGGCGGTCAAGAGGGTGTGCTCCTCAACATTCAAGCCGCCCAAGGAAGCGAGATCGCCACCGTTCCAGGAGAAGTGGGTGTGCGAGTCACCCAGGCCTGGCATCAATGTCCGTCCCTTGCCCTGAAACACTCGAACATCTGGGTTTTGCAGCAACTGCTCCTTGTTGGCGACATTGCCGACTGCCTTTAAACGTTCGCCTGGCAAAGCAAGGTCAGCAACGCGGACATAAGAAGAATTCAGACGAGTCCAAGCCGCGGAGAAAGAAGTCATGCTGCCAGGGACGAGTAATCTCTCGCTCACCTTGGATGAAGACATCGCCACGGTAAGGCGGCTTTCCCGTGCACTCCAAAATGCTGACATCTAGGAAAAGAATCTTGGAGTCCGGATCTGTGCCCAGGATCTCGTACTTGGGAGGTTTCACACTCTCGTTGAATTTGATGGCATCGATATAGGCGACGTTGCGTGGGGGCCCATCGTAAGGCTCGGGTTGGTAAGCGGGAGACGTCCATGGAACGTCTTCCACGATTCTTGCTGGAGCCATGCCGGGCAGTTTCAAGGAGAAGGATCAAAAGAGGTGTTTTGACAACGTCTAACCTCGTCTCTGGTTTCTTCACGTTTGAAAATCCACATACGATGGTTCTTTCCCAGTTATGAAATGTTTTGAGATGTCGGTGCTGATTGAGAAATAGTCGGGCGAAAGGGGAGAGGAGGGAAGTAAAGGGCACCTCTATCTGACCCTGGCTCAATTTCGCACCTGCATGCATGCTTGGGGTGGTGGCATTCTCCCAGTATTCGCATTGTCAGTCGAGGGTCTTTGTGCCCCAACGGGAGACAGACTGCAAGGATTGTCTCTCTCCCCTCTTCTCACCCCAAACAGGTTATGCCCAAAGGGAAATGGGATGTGAAGGAAACTTGACAATCCCGTCCGTGCCGGATCGTTCTTTCCAATGCACCCCGCAAGTTTAGGGCCCCCGCGCTATCCATCCACAGGCATCCACGTTACATGTGAACACCTCATTGTTGCAGAAAGAGGGGTTACAAGTCCCCGTCCCCTACCCGCAGAGAGGTCGGCGTGATTCGACATACAGTACAAGTACCCGGCCGGGAAGGTCCTTGTACTGGAGACTGCGAGTGTGCGAGCCCCTACTTGAGGGCCCAGCGACCCCTCTATTGCACTTATGCTCACGACTCAAACGATCGTCTGTGGGCAAGTAGCGATAGTCCGGGAATACACGGGGATTGACGGTCTCTCGCTAAACACGGGGAAGATATATTACAAACATACCTAGGGACTTTTGGTCTCACGCCCGTCGCTCGATAGGGAAAGGAAACGAACGGATGGGTGTTGTAGGCAGGCAAGCGAGTACGCGCATGTTTGTCGTGGAGGGGAACAATTCCTCATCTAGTTATCTTGATTGCGTTCTTGGTCTGGTCAAGTTCGAAACAGGTAAACACCCAACAATAAACAGCACCCACAGATATGGTGTGGATGCAAGCCGCGCGGAGAGGTCGATTCGGACCGACGAGACCTCCTCAACAAGACGATGGCGAGGCGACCGTCAATGCCAATGCGAAAGATGTTGTCGGCGGCGGCAGTAGCGACTACGACGAGAATGGAGAGAGTCGATTCCCCTTCGCGCCAGAGTCATTACCCGACAACGCCCTCCCTTTCATCCCCAAGGAACTGGTCCTCGAATGTACCCAGCGGTCGAAACCACAAGATCAAGACAGAACCCAGGATGACGCACAAAGAGGTCTCGGCGACGACCACGGAAGAGATGAAGACAATCGCTCCAACCCCGCCGTGCGCTCCGGCCGCCCCGAGCGCTGGATCGTCATCGACAACATCGTCTTCGACTGCCGCGACTTCCTCGCACACCACCCGGGCGGCGAACAGGTCATCCTCAGCTTCGTCGGCGAGGACTGTTCGTGGCAGTTTTGGCGGCTGCACGGCAAAACCGTCATGGAGCAGTACGGCCGGGCACTCCGGGTCGGGAGGACCGAGGGCGTCAAAAACCGCTTCGTCGAGCCCGTCAGGTATGTCGGTTTATCGGGGTTGGGGGATGATGGGTGGTGAACACACGGGGAGATTAGAGAGAGGGAGGGGGGGGGGGGGTTTCTTTTTGGTTAATGGTGAGAAAGAGAGAACAGATCCTGGTTCCTGGTCCTGGGCATGAGCTCTCGTTCTGGATCTGGATCTGGATCTGAATGGACTTTGGTCTTTTGTATATACTTCGTTCGTATACAGTACATATTTTTTCGCGGCGGCGAGTCAGCCCAGAGCAAAGAATCTAAACTGACTTCATCTCATATCTGCTGTGATTGTGCGTCAAAGCCAAACCCTTGGGGAATATTCGGATTCTCTCAATGGGGGACTTGGGAAAGTGAAACCCGCCCACCCACCAACAAAAACCATCACCCTGTTGTTCCTGAGACTGTGTGTGGTAGAGAGAGATGAGAAGAAGACCAACAAGTTATGTCTATGTCTATGCGCATTCCCTATTGCTCTACTCCGCGAGGGGCGTATTCAAAGCCACGACGATACTTGTAGCTACCCGCCCGGGAACGTTATGTCTGTTGCTCGACAGTTCTACAAGTAGATGAGATGAGATGGAAGAGAGTAGAGTATAGTATGGCGATATGGGCGATAAACTTCCTTGGCGAACTCGACCCCATGGGGTAAGAAACTCTCGTAGGACCTCTACGAGAGTACCTCGTGCTGTGCGTGCAGGAGTGATAAAATAATAGAGGAAGAAAAGTGTGTGAGTGTGATTGTCTGGGCATTAAATGGTTGGTGCATTTGGAGTTTTGGGGGGGGGGAAGAAGATCGACATGACAAAGAGGAGAGGGCGGCGAAAGGCGGATGAAGGCGGCATGGCGGGTAATGATAGACATAGACCATTCAATAGTAGTGGTGACCGGGGCATCCAATAGAAAGGTGTGATAGTAAAGACAGACTTTCTTCGTCTCTCCTCGTCGGCTTCTCACGCCGGTAAAGTGGCACAGTGGGAGAGTGGTACATATCCGGTGGAAGGATGACTTTAGCCAGCTTCTCTTCAGTCCCCCATCTTTCACAGCCTCTTGTCACACGGGGTGAACGAGGCAAAGCAATAGATAACGGTCTCGAATTGGCCATGGAGATTGTCTGACTGCTTCAAACCCTTAAGTAACCCAAATTTATTACTCTCCTTGTCTGGCAGAGCCGATAAGTGGACTTCCTCATCTGGGGGTTGAACCATGGCTACATCAGCGACACCTGGTGGCGGCGGGGTTTCTCCCAGCAAGAGCTTGACCAACTATGCATCGTATATCCCAGAGGGAAGCAAAAGGCCGAGAATTGGACATCTTGACCTGGACTCCAACACCGTCACACCTCTCTCTTACATCTCCGGCACACCGATAAGGAGTCTTTACGAGGTGATTGAAGTGGGCGAAGACGCCATCATCCAAGCCGGAGAGCCGTTCCCGCGGAGCAAGGCGAGATTGTTACCCCCGATTTATGGCCGGGATATTCTTGCCGTTGGGAAGAACTATGCAGTGAGGACTGGCTTGTCGGATATACTGAGTTGCTCGTGACTGATGGATGTTCTCCAGGCCCATGCCAAAGAGTTCAATGCTTCCGGGTAAGGTGGCCTTGTGAGAGAGATCGCTCGGTATCGAATGATGGGCTGACCATCTTGAGCCTTACAGATATGACAGCTCTGACAAGGTCGATATGCCAACTCATCCCGTCATCTTCACCAAGCGATGGACATCTGCTATCGCAGATGGGGACGAGATATACCCCCATCCAGGCTTCACCGAGTCGGTGGACTATGAAGGCGAGATCGGAGTCATCGTAGGCAAGTCTGGATTTCAGATTGATGCAAAGGATGCCCTCGAGCATGTCTGGGGGTTTACCATTATCAATGATGTGACGGCTCGCGAACGGCAGCGGGACCATAAGCAGTTTTACCTGGGGAAATCGTGAGTGGTTATCCGCACCTTGCAGGAGACGGGGTAGCCAGGGTCACCATCCTACTCAAGACCCTCGCAATTTCAGCTAATAGTGCGTCCAGACCAGATACCTTTGCGCCAATGGGTCCGATCGCGGTCCCAAAGGAGCATCTTCCAAAGGTGCTTACTGTCCAAACTGTCGTGAATGGCGAGAAGCGACAGGAAGCGACAACCGACGACTTGATCTTCAGCATCCCGACATTGATCGAGACACTGTCCGCGGCGCAGACACTGCAACCTGGGGATGTGTTGGCCACTGGAACCCCGGCCGGTGTTGGATTTGGCTTTGATCCCAAGGTGTGGCTGCACCCTGGCGACGAGGTCAAGATCTCCGTAACAGGCCTTGGAACCTTGACAAACAAAATTGCGAGTCCAGAGTCGAGGATTAGCATCCTCAACCACATTGTCTCGCCTGCCGTGCCCGTTGTGAATGACCGGACGGTCGAGGGCCGTGGACTCAGCTCTGTTGGCTCGAAGCGGCTGTTCTACCAGCGAAAAGGCGGTGATGATGCTGGGCGGCCCATCTATTTCATTCATGGACTCGGCGGCACTTCAGAATATTTCGGCCCACTAATGACAAGGCTGGGGAACTCCTGGACATATCACCTAGCAGATCTCGAGGGCCACGGCCTATCGCCCACATCCGCGACGAGCAAGCTGAGCATCGCTTCTTTTGCCTCGGATGCGTATCAGCTTTGCTCCCAGGCAGGTATCACCTCCGAGTCCGGCCTCACCGTGGTCGCACATTCGATGGGCTGCTTGGTTGCGATGAAACTGGCCCTGGATCACCCGGATTTGGTCAAGACGCTCATCCTGCAAGGGCCCGGCCCTTCACCGCTCCCAGAAGCCGCCAGCAAAGCCACATACGCCAGGGCTGCCCTTGCTCGGGAAAAGGGCATGCTGGGGGTGGTGGATGCGGTCGTGGGCGCAGGCACATCCGATTACAGCAAGGCACATAATCCTCTCGCAATCGCCGCCGCTCGAGTCTCCTTGTTGGGACAAGACGCCGAAGGATATGCAAAGGCCTGTACTGCACTGGCAGACTCGCACGCCGACACGTTGGACATCTCAGCGTTGAAGGCGAGAGTGTTGATCATCACGGGAGAGGAGGATAAAGTGTCGCCGCCGGATATGTGCAAGAGGATGAAGGAGCAAATGCCCAACTGCGAGGATGTTGTTGTTCTTCCGCAGGTTGCGCATTGGCACTTGTTTGAAGCAACCGAGAGTGTTTGTTCAGCTGTCACCGACTTCCTGGGTAAGTAATTAATATCCACAAGCTGACGTATTTCGGGATCATTTGAGTCAGGATATCGAAGCTAGAAAGAAGAAAATTGTGTAGAAGACTTGTAGACTTACATACAGTATGTACTCTGGTTCTCTAGATAGAGTTGCTTTTCTACCTTTGCGGTTGGAGACAAGTCGGGCGTTGCCGTCGATCCTGTGGGTGGCTAGAGGTCCTTTGTGCTCAACGGTGGTGCTTGTAGAGGATCAGCACGGATGTGGCTGTATCTAGTGGTACCTAGTTGTACCTAGTAGTTGTGATGCCCGTAAGGATTTCCCAAAACAACCCGGGACTTTGCGGGGGAGCAGCAAAAGGGGTGTAGCTCAGTACCATTGATCCCCTCCTGGGACAAGTGTTTAGGGGGGCATTAGGGGTCCGGGGTGTTATTAGGGCCTAAGTGAAGTCCACCAGCCTCACTATCCCTGCCCTCTAGACGCCCCCAGGACCCTTCCCCCGTTCTTCCCGAATAATCCCTTCATTTCTTATGCCCTTCTAATGCCCACCAGTGCCTAGAAATCTTTTACCCGATGGGCCGTTCTTATGCCTAGTGATTCTTATGTTTGTACCTACAAGTGCTTGTGCAATTAGGCTTTAGTCTCACTATCCCTCCCCCCCCCTCGTCGCCCCCATGTTACACCTCAACCGACCTGGTGCCCGGCCCCGGATTTCTTTTCTCGGTGCTTAACTGGACAAAACATTCATCCACGTTGATGACCTTGACACTTCCATCCTGCTTCATCCTTCATCCTTCGTCGTTCTAACCTTCTAACCTTTCACTTGGTCGCATATGCTGACTCTCATCGCAGCCACAAATTGCTGTATCAACCATTGAAAGTACCGTCTCGCGTTGATATTGAGTCTTGCTCTCTCGTCCCTCCACTCAAAGAGCTGCGGATTTGCTTTTCCGTGTTACATGGCGCCTCAGGTCGACAAACGCCAACCTCGGGTGCCTCTGAGCTGCGAAAACTGTCGGAAACGAAAGATCAAATGTTCGGGCGAAAGACCTTTTTGTGACACATGCGCCCGTCGTGGCTTCAGCCATACCTGCTTCTATCTGCGCCAAAATGTGCAAATCCCTGCAGGGACCAGCTCCGATGAGGTGCTCCAAAGAGTGAGAAGAGTCGAAAATCTCCTCGAGAGACAAGTCTACCTCCTCGAGCAGCGGCTTGAACCTTCACCAAAATCGAATTCGTCCAACCAAGATACTTTGTCCCAACATCAATCGTCGTCCGTGAACTCATCGCCCTGGACCGAGATCGAGGCGACTCCTTCTGAGACTGCTCCGGCAACAAATGTCGGTACCATCCTGGTATCCGAGGGAGGGTATGAAAGATTTATTCCCGGGCTCGCTTCTTCAGACGCCGAGTCGGTCAATGAACTGATTCAATCTGCTTCTGCTCCACCAATGTCATCGAGCTTCCCCTTCTCCGCCGAGGCACTCGCGGCGCGAAGAGCGCTTTTGGACACCCTACCTCCTGGACGACAGTGTGACGAACTGAAGGATATATTCTTCGAAGTGTTCTCGCCGGTGAGTGTCACTTAAGCTTCTTAGTATTTCTCCAGTCGTCCACCTCGCCCCCTCAGGGCAGATCTGTCAGAGCCTTAGGAGGAATACCCTAGTGGCTCAAGGATCTGAGTCTTGTAAAGTGCTGTTGGCACTCAAAGAGAGCCATGTTTTCTCCTCCTTGTCACAAACGTGGTAGGTACGGGTAGAGATGGTCTTGTTAAATGGTACGAAAACAAAAACAACAACCTTACACTCACCAACGAGTGCCCTCCCGCACCAATGCACGAGAAACTACCCTTCCGACGATGCTGACTCAGTCTCAAACAGCTCTTTCACATACTCCATGACCCATCATTCCATGCCGAGTACGCTCACTTTCGCCAATACCGAGGAGATGTGTCCCTCTCGTTTCTTGCCCTGGTATTCGTGATTCTCTCCATCTCTGTTACTGCACTGGACTCGGACCATCCACTGCTCGCAGACCTCGGAATGGAAGCGACGGCGTCAGCAAATATCAAAAGCTTAGCGACAAAATACCGAGCCGCCGCCATGGGATGCCTCTCAGCGCACCATTTTATGTGGCGACACAACTTGCAGACTGTGCAAGCTTTGGTCCTTTTGATATACGCACTTTCACATGCTCATGGCCCTTCATGGGCCTTGTTGGGGGCTACCTTCAACATTTGCGTATCGATCGGTTGCCACATCGACCCGTCTCAACTGAACCTAGATCCAGTGAGAAGTGAACAGCGACGCCGGTGTTGGGCTGGCCTCATGTTACTGTATACCATTCAAAACACTTGTCTGGGGAACATTGCCCCGATGAAGGTCATAGCCAACGTCCGTCTTCCTGCCGACGTGGACGATGACCACATCACCATGTATGACAATCCGCTGTTGCACACAGATGAAACCCAACCCAAACCCCTGAGCAAAATGTCGTACATCCTCTTCAAGTTCAAACTATATCGGCTGGCGTCCGATATAACAAACTTCACCCGGGAAAACGGGCAGTTGAGCGGCCTGTTCGAGCTCGACGCAAAGATCTCGAGGGAGGAGCACGAACACGACGCACGATTCGCCGACCCTCAGCGGCTTCCAGTTTACCATCTGGCTCATCTATACATCATCAAAAACTATACGAATCACCTGCGACTCATCCTCCATCGACCGTATCTTCCACCACATTCTTCGGCGGCGGACAGCACATTGTACGAGTACCCGGAACAAATGCTGCAGAGCCGGCAGTATTGTAAGATGTCGGCTATGAAGATCATTGACAACCACGAGGACCTCTGCTGTAACGACAAGTTGAAGCCTTATCGCTGGTTCGTGTACGGTCTGGGCGGCTACCAGACGTTTCTGGCAGCGTCGACGCTTGTGGTGCTGCTTGGGTCGGAGGATGACTCGGTCGCTTCAGACCGCGCGGATGTCATCTACGCTCTTCGAAAATGTCAAGCACGGTTCGAGCAGCTGTCTCCGCGCAGCGACATCTCGGCCAAAGCGGCCCGAATCCTGCGCCGCACGCTTGGTCCCGTCACGAGTACCAACGGTGGTGCTGGGGGTCCCCTTCATGACACCCCAAGACTGTACCATCAGTCCTCGAGCATTAGCGACGAGTCCAAGGTCGTGTACAGTATGAGCCACCGACACCAAATATCCAGCGCTTCCCCCGGCAACCTCCATGACCACCACCTCCACCACCAGCAACAGCAGCACACATCAATCCCACCTGGTCCTGCTGGATACAATCAGACGGGCTTCACCAGCGGTGACTTTCCCAGTGGTGCCAACGAGGCCGTCACGACAAAAATGGAACCACCACCACCACCGCCGCCGCCGCCAACGTCACAGCACCAACACCAAGTCCAGTACCAGCACGAGCTCCAGCACCAGCACCACCATCAGCAACAGCAACAGCCTCCCCCTCATCCTCACTCCTTCTTCCCCTGCCCACAACCGCTCTACGAGCTGATGAATCTCCCCGCGGAGCAGTGGCTGGGCGGCCCCTCCGCGCTGGCCTGGGACTGGAGCAGCTGGGTCGACGTGCCCGAGGCCTCGATCGCGGGATCCGACATGTTCATGGACACTTCGGCTTCTGGCGTCATGATGTGATGCTATCTTGTGTCCTTTGTTGTATTTCTAGAAGGACATGGACATGTGGATATAGATATGAAAAATGTAAATACCCCCTGTGCGTGCGATAGACAATTGGTACGATCTGCTCGGCCGAGACTCGAGATACGGTAGTTTTAGTACGTCGCTTCTTCTCCTTCCCATCCTCATATCCAGGGGTTTGACTCCGATCCCGACCCTGTTTCTGGTTCTGGTTCTCATCATGGTTGGTTGGTGCTAATTAAACCCCCGGTTTCACTTCACTCAATTCCACTACTCCTGCTCTACTTTCCTCCTCTGGTGCCCGTCGTGTCTCTCTGATCACGAGATGACATGTCATGTCATGTAATTACGCACGGTGCACTGTTGGTCGGCAGGCAAGATGGGATGTCTCTCAACGACCACGAAAGCCACGACTGGACGAATGAGAACTTCGACGACGCGGGTTTGGGGAAAGGGGACAGGAACAGGGATATACCGTCGTTCGATAAAATACCTATCTAGGTAACTGAGGAATTTTAATGATTTGATATTACGGCGAGATATCCATCGTATGGACCGCCGAATAACTACTATCCCGTGCACTTACGGAAGGCTTCAAAGGCACCGCCAGCACCGCTTCACATTATGTACTTTTCTTTACCCCAGAGCCCTCTCCAGCCTGTTCCTGACGGCCAGCCACCAGTTCGCTTGCTGCTCGGCCTCGTCTCTTTGTTGAATGGCCCGGATGGTCTCGATTGGCCGCTGCGATTTGACCTGTTCCTCGGTGAAGAAATTACCATGGAGGCCATAGGGTACTCTCTGCGTCAGGTATACTCGAGCGGCCAACGTCTTCATGTCTCGGGCATCAATGATCCACAGCTCACTTTTGGCATCGGGACGACATTCGCCTGATGAGTCTAGCTGTGATTCGTCAAAGACATAGGTCAGCAGCCAGCCATCATCTTCCTGAGTGCCGCCTTCACGTGGCACAAAGTGTGGCTCCTGTGCGAACCAGCCTTGCGGAAGGCGAAAAATCGAGATTGGGTCATCCTCCTCCCGAAATTGTAAGATCGTATTGATACACCTTGTATCAACACAGTCAAGTACACCCCGGGTATGTGAATAAGTCTTGCCTCGCTTGATGAGCGTCTCCACATCTGCCTTGACCAAGCAGTCGATCTTCGCAGCACGGCCAAGGGCGGCTCCAAAGGTGCCAATGGAAGTCGAACAACCAAAGACATACCTAGCCTGGCTCATTGTGCTGTCTTTCCTAATATTGGGAAATTCGAACGGGATAGCGCTTAATGCGAAGTCATGTGTTATGCGCCCTGGCTGTGTCATTGAGAACTGATAGTAGTGGAGCCGGCACTGTTCTTCACTATCAGGCCCATTGAGCATTTGTTCAGGAGCGGGAATATTGCCTGCATCAAAAATGACCGACGCCGAAGTCAGTCGACATGCGAGCATATTGACGGCAGTTGTCCGCAGTTGTCCCGTTACCTTGTCAAGCACCTGATCTTCCCACGTATTCGCAGTATGGAAGATGCAGCATGCTTTTGTCTTAAACCAGACAACCTGCTGGGGCAGGTATCGAGGAAAGATACCGAATCGAGAATGAGACGTTGCGTCGTAGGTAACAACAGGCTTATTCTTTACCAAGTTCAATGGATCCAGCGACAGAGGCAAGTCCATGATGACAGTGTGGTGTGCCGACACTCCAAAATCATGCATCATCTTTGCCGACGAAATCCCCGGAACTGGGGCATTCAGAAGCCTGATTGGTCTCTCGAGCGGCGAAGAAGGGACGGCGGGCGAGAAGGTCGCAGGAATAATCGAGTAATGTACATATGGAGGGACAAAAGTCGAGTGGAAGAGGACCAGCTCTCCCGTCTTCGGGTCGACACGAGGATGGGCGGTGGTCCATTCTTTCATGAACCGCAGTAACCCATCTCCCCCAAATCCCGAGCCGTTCTCTCCTCCTAGCTCCCCTTCTGCTCTCAGCCCGTTGAACCAGCCAATAGTTTCGAGGCCCGGAAGAAGGACCCTGATTGGGGGGCCGGATTCGCAGGTGGCAAGAGCGCGACCATCATGGAATAAAACACCCGTGTTGGCCACGCTGATCTTCTTAATAGCTTGGACTGAGCCAGGAAGTCGTGATAATAAGACAAATAAGATGCTGCGGAAGATAAGGGCGATGAGCTTGTACAATGAGGTCAATGGATTGACCAATGCTGCTATGCTCGGGAGGATCGGATGGCGCAGGTGTTTTGAGGATATTGTGGACAGATAGATGTCGGTCAAGATGTATTGGTTGACAAATTCTGGTTGCACACCATTGGCAATCCGTGTGAACACGACACCGCTGAGCATACCATCCCCGTCGAACCAGTGCGCATCCCGGCCCAAGTCCTCGTTTGCCACTGGGTTGCCGCCATTTCGCACGTATTCACCTCCAAATAGCTCTTCTGGTATGCTCCCAGAATATGGGCATGGTACTAGACTCTGGGCCTTCTGCAAAGGAGCAAAGTTGCCACTAAGGTAGGGATGCGGATGGCTTCTCTTGTAATCTCGAGAGGACTTCGCGCTCGAGGGCGAATAGGATGGGTGCTTTCTAGGTGTATCTGGTGTGACGACGGAGGAAAGCGAGTTGGTCATACTCGAGACAAGATGAAAGAACCCAGCAGTGGTGGAGATCCTCGACACAGCCTGAAGCCGAATCCTTCCGTAATGTGTCGGTTTGCTGCTAAACCTTTAAGAGGGGATCTTTATCAAAGAGTGAATGCTTCCACAAGTTATGCAAGGTCGACGTCTCTTGTCCGAGGCCGTTGGATGTGACGGGGTCCGAGACGCCCCTCAGGATCAAGTTCAAACATGCATCGGATCACGCAACCAGAGAGAAGAGAAGGTCGATTCACATGTCAGCACCAGGGGGACCTTGCAAGTGAGGAGATAAGTTAGTGGCCTTGCTAAGCTCACATGATGAAGTCGTCGCAGGACAAGTAGGGGAGAATGCGTTGATCTCAATGCCAACATGTCTCCTAAAACATCCAACCAGAGGAAAGTAAAGGAGGGGAAAACAGCCCAGCGAAGACAAAACTGAAGTCAGCCGAGCAGGTGGAAGCATCGAAGCTGCAGGTCAACGATGCGGAGGAAATCATGGCGTCATTGAGCACTGGCCGGTGGCAGCATTGTTATTTGAGCTAGTAGAGAGCCAAGACGCTAACTAATGATTGCGACCCATGTGAAGAACCATGAACAGAATGTTAGCCGAGAATCCGCTTACCTCTTTTGTAGCTCGACTTTTGCTGCTTTTGTCGGAAGCTGCACGCCGCGGCCCGTCAGCCTCGTGTCCGTGTGGCTTGACCCCCACCACCATCGCCCATCACAGCCTTCATCGTCCGCAGCTTTCATCCCCAACTTGGAATTGTGCGCGTCATGATATCCCAGAAATTTCATGGCTTCCCATCAGACCTCTGCACAAGTCCACACAGCCATGTCTGCATGCTTTCGGCTATCCATATACTTTGCCTCAAAATCCCAACCGTTCCTCCGCTCCTGGCGTTGAAAACGAACGGCTGATTGGTATAACATGGCGACTGCTGCGGCCGGAAGCTTTTACTGAGACAGGACCTTTTGAACTTCTTTCACTGGCGCAAAAGGCCTTCAATTGACCATCAGAGCTCTGTCCTGATGTACGATTATGCGCTGGTGTATGTGGCTGTCTGCTTCTGACCCCCTCCAAACAAGTTCTAACAAGTGCCTCTGCCACAATAGTCATGTTGTTCACACAATCCCCCTTGCGATAGCCTTGTCTATTGCCCTAGGACCTCTGTTGACACGACGGGATATCTACAAGATATGCTTCCTTCAACTTGTCGCCGTCACATATACAATTCCTTGGTGGGTGTAGGATCGACGACTTCTGTTCTTCAGAGATGCTGACTGGCCAAGGGACTCATACCTGATTAGAACCAGGATCTGGAGTATGTCATTTCTATTCTTATATCCCTGTTGGTTTCTGACATAATACTAACTTGTGCTAGCATATCCGCAACACGTTGTTATAGGGCCGACTCTGTTTGATATTCCTGCCGAAGAGGTCTTCTTCTTTAGCATCCAGACTTACATCGTAGGCATCCCCCCTGTTTGTGAGCAGTCAAGATCGCTAATTTTGAACAGTCAACTTGTCTCCAGATACTCCTCAGCAAGCCGGTGCTCACTGCAATTTATTTGCATAATGAAGCCGACTCACTGGACCCTGTTGGCAAGTCTCTCTTGCCCTGGAAGCGAGCAGGTCAGCTCGTTTTTAGCTTGGGTTTGGTGGTTCCAATCCTGCTCCGAGAAAGCAATGCCGAAGGCCATTACATGCGACTGATCCTGATTTGGGCTTGCCCGGTAATGTTGATGCTTTGGACATTTGCCTACCAGCTACTTCTCACGGTGCCATGGACTACAACCTGGTTACCTATCGCCGCATCGACTTTATATCTGTGGATCGTCGATACATTGGCTCTCCGCCGAGGCACCTGGAGTATCGAATCAGGCACAAAGCTCGGCATTCAGGTCTGGCCTCATTTGGAACTAGAAGAAGCCGTCTTCTTCCTTCTGACAAATACCCTTATAGTGTGGGGGGCGACTGCGTTTGACAACGCCGTGGCTATTCTCGACTCCTTTCCGGGGAATTTCCCCACGGTCCCCGGCATCCCTCCTCCGACCTTGATGTTCAAAGCTCTATTTCTGGCCACTTCAAAATATGACACTGCGCGTCTCCACGGCTTGCGAAATGCACACACAGTTCTTGCTAAGAAAAGCCGATCATTCTACCTGGCCTCGGGAGTCTTTGTGGGTCGTCTGAGAATCGACCTGATACTCCTCTACGCGTTTTGCAGAGTGGCTGATGATCTGATTGACGACGCGCCTTCTGCAACTGAGGCAAGTAAATGGGTGCAATATTTTACCAATTTCCTTGATGTTGCGTACTCACCGAAAAGGGACGAGAACCGGTTACAGCAGGCTCTAGACCCATTCCCACCCAAGGCACGGTCTATCTTACGACTTCTTCCCACGGACAAATTGCCGTCGGCGCCGCTCTACTCGCTTCTAGATGGCTTCCGGATCGACCAGAAATTCTTTGATGCAGAATCTAGGCGCAATCCTCCCATTGCCACTTTTGCTGACCTTGAACGTTATGCAAGCTGTGTCGCGGGTACGGTCGGTGAACTCTGTTTGAACCTTGTCTATTATCATGACCCCGATCAAGGAACACAGACAGATACAAGACAACAGTGCCTCACTGCTGGTGCGAAAATGGGCCGAGCCCTGCAATACATCAACATTGTCCGAGATGTCAAGACAGACGCCGATGCCGGACGATGCTACATTCCTAGCGAGTGGCTTGATAATTCAACGCAGGGTTTAGCCGTATCTCGAGCCGACCAAATTGCGCTCCATAGAAGGACAGTCTTGGACGTTGCATTCGCCATCTACGCTGAGAATAGAGATGCAATCGAGGCGCTGCCCTATTATGCGCGAGGTGGCATCCGTGTCGCGGTCGAGAGCTACATGGAAATTGGCAGGGTGATGCGCGAGCGAATGCAGCAGGGCAGGCCTTTAGATTTTGCTGGTGGTGGCAAGAAGGGACGTTCTAGCGTCCCCAAGCCGAGGAGGATATGGGTTGGATGGAAGACAATGATGGGGAGGAGGGGTGCTGTGTGATAGAGGGGCTTTACTTGATCACTTCAACCTTCAATCTTCATAGCTGTGTGTGGTTGCGAGTCTCGCTCTGGCCCTATTCGGAGGTCTGGCCAAGGGACCGTTTGGCTGCACCTAGCGTGCGGGGCCTGCGCGTCGACATCAGAGCCAGATCTTCCCATTATCTTGGACATTGCAAACTCCCCTGCGTTAATCCATTACCAATTTCTTCGTGACTACAGCCGTGACCTGCTCACTAGTTAGATAAGATCGCAGACGCCAATAGAGCTGATTCCGTGCTCAGGATGGACTATGGACCGAACCCGCCCGGAAATATTCACATGCATGTGTCTTGAATCCAAAGTCATGTTGTCATTGACTCTGACGGCCTCGTGCCGACAGAGGATACAACATGTCTTTCTAACAGGCCTCTACTTGTCTCTAGATCTCTGAATATTCATATCAGTTGTGACGAACAAGTGCTGGGATATGGACAAGCCCAAGAGCGTTATCATCGTAGGTGAGCTTTTTCTGAGACTGGATTTTGTTGTCGGCCTTGGTTCATTTTGCTGATCCCGAGACAACATAATACAGGCGCTGGTGCCGGCGGTATTTCCAGCGCAGCCAGGCTTGCCAAAGCTGGGTTCCGGGTGACCGTGCTCGAAAAGAACGACTACACCGGCGGACGCTGCAGCCTGATACACGATGGCGGCGGCCACCGCTTCGACCAAGGCCCGTCTCTCCTCCTCCTGCCCGACCTGTTCGCGGAAGCCTTCGCCGACCTAGATACATCCCTCGAGGCCGAAGGGGTCGAGTTGCTCAAGTGCGAGCCCAACTATAACGTCTGGTTCGGCGACGGGGAGTGCATCGAGCTGTCCACGGACGTGGCGCGGATGAAGAAAACAATCGAGCGGTGGGAAGGCAAAGAAGGCTTCGAGAGATACCTCGCCTGGATGAAGGAGGCTCACGTCCACTACGAGGCCAGCGTCGTCCATGTGCTGCGGAAGAACTTCTCTACCATCTGGGCAATGGCCCGTCCGAGCTTCCTGCCCTACCTCATGGCGCTCCACCCGTTCGAAAGCATCTGGAACCGGGCGGCGCGCTATTTTCTGACGGAGCGGCTGAGGAGAGCCTTCACTTTCGGGAGCATGTACATGGGCATGAGTCCCTTTGAAGCCCCCGGCACCTATAGCCTTCTCCAGTATACGGAACTGGCTGAAGGCATATGGTCAGTGTCCAGTGACAGAACCATGATTATAAACTTGCGCACTAACGAGAGAAAAGGTATCCCAGGGGCGGGTTCCATCGAGTCTTGGATGCTTTGGTCAAAGCTGGACAACGTCTCGGGGTCGAGTACAGACTGTCGACACCCGTTGCCCGAGTAAACGTGGACGGATATTCTCAACGTGCGACGGGCGTCACACTGGCCTCTGGAGAGGTCGTGAACGCCGATATTGTCTTGGTCAATGCTGATCTCGTCTATGCTTACAACGAATTGTTACCTCCTTCTCGGCAAGCTACAACAATATCGAAGAAACCGGCTTCTTGCTCCAGCATCTCATTCTACTGTAAGTTCCCCACTTCGCAACTCTTTCACATCGAGCTAAGTTGTCCAGGGTCAATGGACAAGATGGTCCCTGAACTCCACACACACAACGTCTTCCTCGCCGACGACTACCAAGACAGCTTCGACGACATCTTCAAGCGACAGCAAATTCCCAAAGAACCTTCATTTTACGTCAACGTGCCTTCACGGGTCGACCCGAGTGCCGCCCCTCAAGACCGAGACAGCGTGGTGGTGCTTGTCCCATGTGGTCACCTACTGGAGGGCGAGGCTGATCGAGGGCTAAACCCCCACAGCGCACAAGATTGGCGGGCCATGGTTGCGAAAGCTCGGCATGCAGTCTTTGAGACGATTCGTCTCCGGACGGGGGCAGACCTTCAATCTCATGTCGCTCACGAGATAGTCAATACGCCGAGCACGTGGAAAGACAGATTCAATCTAGATAGGGGAGCCATTCTTGGATTGAGCCATTCATTCTTCAACGTGTTGAGCTTCAGACCAGGCACGAAGCATACGACAATAGCTGGCGTGTATTTCGTTGGAGCCAGCACTCACCCGGGCACGGGTGTGCCCATTGTTCTCGCTGGTAGCAAGATCACCACTGAACAAATCCTTGATGACCTTGGTATGGTCAAGCCATGGTCTCCAGGAAACCACAAGAGAAGGGTTGTGAGTGAACTGGATAAACTGGGAACGCGTCCCCTGGATCTCGTGCACAGTCTTCTTGGTCTGTTACTTGTGGTGTTGGTGATGCTTGTGCTCTTGATGAAATGATAATATGTCTGAAGAACTTGGTCGGTGATAGACGTCAGCGAAAAGGTGAACATACAAAACACTAGTTTTTCCATTTCCTTCAACCATTCTCAAGTTCTAGTTCCTTCGTATCCATTCACTTGTCAAGGTCTTCTTTCTGCAGCCTCGCGTCATCGTGGCGGCTCTTCTGTTCAGCCACGGAACGCAAAACGGCAAGAAGGACCCATCCCACTTAGCCGTACCTGGCAGCTCTGCCGCATTGGACATTGCGGATAATCCTCCGGAATGACTTGGTGTGCTGTCAGCACTCCTATGACATCATCGCTCTGGTACCACTGCTGCTTTCATCCACTCACATCACCTCACACAAGGATCCTGGCGGTGGGCGTCGATCATCAAGGAATCACCGGAGGATTCCATCGAATCATTGGCGTCAGGGCAGCTCTAAGTCTCCCAAACGTTTTTGCGGTAGAGCCTTGCTCCCAGCATTTCCGACACAAAATACCTCTGACTAAACCTCTACAGGATGGCTGGTTCACAAGGCGACCTTTCTCGTCTGAGGTAGTGAGATGGCCTTGCCAAAAGCCCCTTGTCCTTTTTCTGTCGACGTCTCACCATGGACCACCAATGCCGGATGAGCCTAATGCCAGCTGTCTTCGCAATTTTCTCCGGTTCGCCACAGGATTGGAAGTCCGACCTCCTGATCGAGTCCAGTCCCAGCTCCCATCCCAAGTCAAGGCGGTCTGCACTAGCCATCAGCCTGCATTTGCTCCCAAAGGGTCGAAGCCGACGACATCCGAGCGCGAAATGGTTTGTCGGAGTCGTCGAATGACTGTCACGGTAGCCTCAACAAATCTCAGACCACCACGACTGCAGGCCCGGGTGTCTGGGCTAACCTGCGCTGACCACGGCGTCCACTCATTGTTGAACGCGATGTTGCCGATGCCAACAGAAAGATGAGCTAATGCGTGGGTCGCTTGGTGACAGTCACCTGTTTGGGACATGAAAACAAAGAGCCTACCAGAGACATCCCAGAGCCTTGCAGCCCAAGGGGCAGATGACCCTCCCCAGATGAGGAAATCTTGTAGCGCAGCTTACTTGATACGTTCTGCCAGAAGATTCCCTCGCTGCCCGGCTCCTACGGCAGCGTCAAGTCCATGGAGAAACTCTCGAGGAATCGCCGGGAATGCTTGTTTTCAACAATGCAGCATGCCGTTTCTGTTGACTGAGGGAAGCGAATGGACGTCACGTTGCTCCATCCGTGAGAGTCCGTATCTCAAAGGCACAAAGACCTTGATCTATTAAACCCCTCTTTCACCCCGAGATAACACGTCTATCCTCACTTCAACCAGCACAGTCAAGACATCAGAGGCCAATAGTCCTTTCGCAAAGTCAGTCCCAGCACTTTTTGATCGAAGCCACGACAACCTCCCGCACCAATTACTTTCTTCAAGATGGGTAACGGCGTCTTCCGACACAATGGTTTCACCAACACGGTGACTACCAACAACCACATCACCTCCCGTGGTAGTGATTGGTACTGGACTGTCTGTGCGGTCATGACTGTCTCGACCCTCGCCTTCATGGCCCTGTCCTTCTTCAAGCAGCGATCTCAGCGCCTGTTTTACTACCTCGCTGCGGGCCTCACCCTGGTCCCGGCCATTTCGTACTTCTGCATGGGATCCAACTTGGGCTGGACTGCCATCTTGGTTGAATGGGTTCGCAGCGACCCCAAGGTTCACGGCGACATGCGCCAGATCTTCTATGTCCGCTATATCGATTACTTCATCACCATTCCTATCTTGTTCACCTTGTTGTTGTTGAGCTGCGGTCTCCCCACCTCGACCCTCCTGTACACCCTGCTCATGGGCGAGGTCTGGGTCATCATGGCTCTTGTTGGCGCCCTTGTCCACAGCGAATACAAGTGGGGTATGTATTCAAGCGGGATTCGGTATTGGTTACTCAGTCGCTGATTCTGCATGTCGACAGGTTTCTTCACCTTCGGAGCTGTTGCGCTGTTCTTCGTCGGTTTCGCCATCATCTACGAGGGACGTGCCTATGCCCGCACTCTCGGACAAGACATCCTCCGTGTCTACACCGTCTGCTCCGCCTGGGTCGTTTCCCTCTGGATCGTCTACCCCATCATCTGGGGTGTCTCAGAGGGTGGTAACGTCATCGCTCCCGACTCTGAGGCTGTCTCTTATGGTGTCTTGGATATCCTGATCAAGCGTAAGTCGTTCACTTGTCAATTACTCCTTGACAGATGCTGACGATGCCTGCCAATAGCTGTCACCGCTGCTTTCCTCATCTGGGGCATGCGCAATGTCGATATGGAGCGTCTGGGCATCCACATCCGCGATGTCAACTCCGCCCCCAGCGCTGCTGCTCACTCGGAGAAGGCTGCTGAGGCTGCTGCCGCCGGCGAGGGTGTCGCTCCCGCCCCTGCTCCCGAAGCCAGCGCCGTGTAAAGGGCCGATCATCACGCAGTATCAGGCCCAATCTTCGATATATTCGACGGACAACTTACCGGCTTTGCCTGAATGCGGCCACTAGGGGTTTCTCAACCCCTCTCAACTTTCAAGCCAAGAGGTCCATGCGAAGTACTTTTTTTGCTGGACTTCCAACACGATACCCAACCCTACCAACCAACCAAACCCGGTAATGCGACATGTCATTCGTTACACAAAATGGACAAAGGAGATTTTCTTTTACGACCAAGTCACTATCAAACACTAATTCACGGAGTCGAAGGATGCGGAAAGAAGGGAGAGGGGAGAAGGGGGCAAAGTGTCTGATTTATCACGTCGCGACGATACCCAAGATACCATGTACAAGCAGCTCGGCCGCCATTGGGGGGTTAATTAACCTTACGAGTACGAGTAGTATAGTACTTATTTTGACGTACTAATAATATCGATGTCATTAGCAATGTCAATGTCAATGTCAATAGAGATTTCATGGTCATACCACAAAGTTAGTCTACACTTGCACCTTGTCTGATTTGGAAGTTTCGTCTACAAAGGAGCTACTTATGATCACTCGGTACAGACAAGAACTGGCAGAAGTACGGTGCAGTAGTACTGAGTCGAGTCCCTCCATCAGTTACCTATGTACTTAGCTACAAGGAGGGTGCATAGATATGTAGATGTTTGACACCTCGTGACCTGCGTGCCTTTCTACATTCATACCCTCCAACTGGATACCTAGTACCTAGCGAGCTGTGTAGGTACTGGTGATACTCTTACCCAAGTCGTTAGTCATACAAATACTCGTTCGAGTCGATAACTTGGTTTAGTCTAAATCCCGGTCTACTTGTAAGGCCGGGCACTTACTTTTATCAAATTCCATCCGATGGAAAGAAAAGAGAAGAGAAGGAAGGAAAAAAAAATAATTCCCTCATCAATGATCCATGGCTGCTTGTTCTTTCGTGAGTGAGTCGTGGTGGTGTGGGTTGGTTGGGACTTGGTAAAAGAAAGGCCCGGGAGGCCCACACCACCTATTCTGTCCCATCGAACCAGTCAGGTTTTGTCGTCAACCACCATCAGGCTGCGAGGGTCGGGTATGCTCGGCAAGAAAACAATTACTATGAGTAAGAGTGAGATACCTCCTCCGGGCTGGGCTCGAAAATTCTGCAGGCGGGCCAAGAAAGAGACAGAGAGAGAGCGACGCACACAAACAAGAATCGGCGCGACTGCGACTTCGTCAAGGAGGACTCGATACTCGATACTCAAAAGAGTTAAAATGACGCGGTATCGAGTACTTTTCCCCAGAGAAAGCTTTTTCCCAGCCAGCGTGCCAGGTCCACCATAGACATTAATCACTCGCGCCCGCGCAAGTAGGTATACCGACCAAGAGTCAAGACCCTACCAAGTACGAGGTACAGCGCGCCGAGAACACTAATAATCTTTTACTCCAAACTCTTCACTCCCCTTATCATTTGTGTGGATACGAATTGCCTCTGGAGGGCTTGGGTCCAAGCTGTCGCAGAGTGGACACCCAAGTTACTTGTGAGGTAGTGGAGCACATAGTAAAAACACTTTTTTCCTCGCTTCACGTCTTGCTTAGCCCATTCAGTCTTAGCACAAAGGCTCTCGGAGATTTTTTTCTGCAAAGACTCGGTACATGTGCTTGATGTGTACTCGGTAAGAGTATGAGGTGCAGTATCAAGTCCCGCGTCGTGTGGGAGCAATCGTAAAAGGAGAATTTCGACTTCATGGTTGTTAAGAGAAAGTCAGCACCTGTGGATGGTCACTATGATCGATCCCTTTAGAGTTAGTCACCAATACCTCTGGAAGGCGATTTCCTCAACAGGGCGCGGTGGAAAGAAGAAGCCAGGCAGTACACGAGCAGCTTCGCAGGAGTTTGGGCAGTGTGCACGAGCATGTTCCCCCAAGGATCGAGTCAAAGTAAAATGACTTCCTTGGAGGGACGTTTGCCCCAGAAGGAAGGACGGAAAGAGGCCTATCTCGCTTTCAATCGATAGTTCGTCGCTGAGATACACAATCAAGGACAAACCACACCGTCTTTGACGCCATCTGTTGACGATCCGGAGAAGCTTTCACCGTAGCTTACCGTGTCATTGACCGTGTTCCCGCACAGGTCGAGGTTGTGGAAAGACCGTTGTCGATGAAATCCTACCCCAGAGCAGACGAGATTTGCTACCATATTGTTCTGCAGATCATCTTCGTGTGTCTCCATAAAGTATTGCAGCATTCGATATTAGTATGGGGTTATCCAAAACCGCATTCAGTCTTGAGGGTGTGTTCACTGGATCCAACTCCACCTTCTGAAGTTGTAGGTACGAGTAATAGTACGGAGAAGGTACTCGTATGTCAGCAGGCCTTCGTCTTCAACGACTTGCGAAAAAACAGTCAATCTTGAGCAGACGCTTGCCGTAGACGAAGGAAATGGCCAAGGATGGCCCAGGGTTCTCCACGATCTCGAGAACGGTAAGGGCGGAGAGCCACTGATATCGGTCTCGCACCGTCGAGATTGGGGCCCGTTTGCACAGAAGTCTTGCTCATTGCGACAATAGTGGTACACCCAGCGGCCATCAACCCCCGCCCTCTTGCTGAGAAGTCTTCGTCAATGTACCTCGTAGGTCTGGGATGCACACCGTAAGCGAAGTTAGCATCTGGTTTCTGCTTGGAGAAAGAAAATCAGCCTGGTCATGGTCACAGCAACACACAGTCGCCAAACCGGCCGCCTTGTGCACACCGCAAATCTCAAGCTGCTCTTACCACGACCAACCATAAACCGTCATCGGTAGTCGTCCGGAGGGTTGCAGATGAGGTCGTGTAATCTGAGGCGGCAAGAGGCCCTGGTAGCTCGTCGTGAAGACGGTTCCTGGCAAGTTGGCAACACCAGCGGTAGGTCAAACACAGGTAAAGCACTCTGGCCAGCTCCAGATTAAATTGCACAGTTCCCGTTGGCGGCTACAGATGGGGAAAAGGGTAGTCGACCAGAAGAAACCGCGTCAATTCGGTGCAGGGCCGAACCGACAGTAGCCAAAGCCGCAGCCAGTGAGAGGCCTCGTAGGTCGTGAACTGACCTGATAACGTTGATGTCAGGGGCGTGGGAAAGAGACAAGAGGGCGAATGGGCGACAGAGCGCATTGTGGATGTCCAGGTCGCTGTTTCATCATTTCCTTCGCAGATGGAGCGACTCTCTTGCTGGGTTGGCGCAGGCAAGCAGCAGATGGGCTGCTTTAAAACGAATCTAACCTGACGCTGGTGCTACCCTTAGGCGGTCCTTTAGAGGCTCTTAGTGGGGGCCTCGGGAAATTTGGCATGACTAGCATTGGCTGGCAGCTGCATGCAGTGGAGGACAGGCCCGCAATGGGTCCGTAGTCGCCCAGGCACAAGCCCAGGAACCAAGCTTGGCGCGCCCAGGTACAACCACTCAGGGGTTGCAGTTTCATCTGTTGTCAACCTTTGTATCCACCACTCTATCCTCTTATCCACCGCTTCTCCACGATCGTCGAAGCCTCATCCCAACTCAAATCAGCCAGACAACCACTCAAAGTTTGCTGAGCTGTCTCTGTTGACACCAGCGCTTTACTCTAACTCGGCCCACGACCGCGACGCAATTTTACCCGATTTTTTGCGATGCTCCCGCTGCCACGCCAGCGCAACCCCATGCCCTCGCCCAGCCCATCAGATATGCTTTTGGCCGCCACATATACTCGTCTTCTTCCCTGCTCGTCTCCATATGTCGCACCTCTCTTTCTTCCCCCAGTGCGAGAATCCAGGATAGCATATTGCTGTCGTCCGAGCATCTGAGCTCCCTCTCAGTTCCTATCACGCTCACTCACCTCCCCTCGAGCAGCGCTCGCTCAGCTCGCCTTGCGCGATATCATTCTAGGACGAGAACAGCACATTGACCGACCACGGCAGGTCACCACACACTCACTGAGACTTACCACGACACTCGAGATCAGACTCCGATAATCGGAAGTCACTCCAGCGCATTGAGAAATAAATCACTGCCCTACACACGAGACCTCAATACGATACTCAAAGCAAGATGCGCATCAGCTCAGCCGTCGCAGCAGTTGCGCTGTTGCTAGCGCCAGCAGCTCTTGCTGATCTACCGCCTGGAGACTGGTCGGGGGAGACTACTGTCACAATTACGCAGTCGCTCTCAACCACTCTTACCGTTACCAAATATCTGACATATGCGAATGCTACAACGACGAGCAGTTCCAGCAGCTACACTGTCAGACCGACAGGCTGGAATGTCACTTCCACTACCACAACCGGGGCAAGTACCGTCAATATTCCGACCTTGACTGCTCCAGCTAGCTCAACATCCGGCATCTCACCGCCCATTGCAAGTGCAACTGGCGCAGCGAGCGCTCAAGAAATCAATCTAGCAGTGGCCGCTATGGCGGGCGCCGCTGCCCTCCTGTTGGGCTCATTATAGCCACAGTCTTTTGATATCTATCAACATGTCGAGCATGATGCGGCATCCTGTTGATACTTTCTTTTCCTCATGTTTTGACTGAGTCAACCTTTTACGTTGCGAGCACCAGCATGCTCGCTTTCGCTTGTCTGGATAACAACAATTTCATCTCTGAGAGTGTTTGAAGCACATTGCGGAGGACCGATTATCGAAATCTTTGATTGTACCGCAGCCGGTACTTTCACGAATTAACCTATGTGTTGAAGTTGCAAATTGGGAGATTACGCTACCCACGCCCGGGGCGCAGATGAGTCGGACCGTCAGCCGTTGTGCAGGACTGTGGTTTCAAGCATGAGTGGTTGGGCAAATGAAGGCTCTGTTTACCAAGTGGATGAAGACCGGGGCGAAATGGTTCTTGGGATAGGGGATGCAATTGGGGGAAGGGGGCAGGTCTACGATGATGACAGACACGATGTGAAGTGCAAGTCCCACACCTTTTCGAAAACATGCAGGACAGTCGCGGTCTCCTTTTTACGAGATGGTGGTGAACTCGTCTGGGAAGCTT